ATAAACACAAGTATTGCAATTCACCTAGAGATATGAAAAGACAAAACAAAACTACTCTGATACAGCTCTCTCATCTTCTTCTTCTCTGAAACACACAGCTGTGGTAAGTCTGGATTTCCCCCCTCCAGTGCCGCCCCTCCAATTCTCCAAAAGCATCACAGTATCTTGAATGTGTCATGAGACCTTTCAGGTCTATTTGAATGGATTTCCAGTAACTGTGGCACTTGTTCCCTCCTCCTTCAGGAGATAAACTCAGTCCTCTTTGGGAGACACCACACTCACACAAACTGAACTAACATAATTCAATATCCTTAGTGAACGGGAAAAAATGAGTCCTCCACTACAGCCAGTCTCTCAGAGAGGCGATGCACTTATGACATTGATTCACAGGAAACCTGGTCCAACGTTGCATTATGGAAATTTTAAAAAGACATTCTGTCCTGGTTCTGCTGAAAGATTATAAAAAGCATCTCACATAGAAAAGGTGGGTTTCTGTCATCCAGCAGCCTTAGGCCATTCAAATACTCATAAGCTACACTTAAATATCACAGGATAGGCTCAAGTTTAAAACACAGCCCACCATATAACAAGTTTCTTTTACAGTATTTTGAGTGTTACCCTTAAAAGGATAGCTCAGATTTTTCAAGTGGGGTAGTACGGGGTACTTACACATAGTTAGTGCAATACCTACAGTAGATGCCAGTGGACATGCCCCCAGTTTGGAAAAGTAGGCTGGAGCCCAACATGGAAGGTTAGTAATGCAATGCTGTGGAAGGACATCAGCAAGAAAAAGTATTTAAAAAAACAGACCCACCTGAAAAAAATCAGTATCAGTTTAAGTGTATGCTATATTGGCAGTATTTTCACTGCTTTACCTTTCCATCAGCCTATTCCAATGGCTTTAGTTATCCATCTATGCTCTCGTCAAAGCCACTGGACGCCATTGACAAAAATAGTAATTTTAGCCTACTGAACACGAGCTGCTGATCTGCTGCTTCTTCGATTAGTTAGTTAATTCTATTGTGTGACTTTCATCTGAATCTGAACTTAGCCTTTTAAATGCCAAAGGCACACAATAACAAATAACAGAATAAGTGTTCAAGGTAGCAATAGATCAGCAGCTCCTGTTTCAGCAATGTTAAATCACAGTTTTTTCCTCAATGGAGTCTGGTGTGAAAGAGAACAATATTAACAGCTCCATTTTCCTATCGAATATCACTGTCTGACATCAAGGTAAAGCAGTAAAATACTGTCAATATATCATACACTTACACTGATTTTTTTTTAGGTGGCTAAAATACATTTTGTTGCTGACCCATCCACAGCAGTAGATTGCTTTGCTCTCATGTCAGACTCCAACCTGGGGTTGTGCTGACTGACATCTACTGCATGTAATATACGGTCTATGGATAAGTACCCCATTCAACCCCACTTATAAAATTCTGAACTATCTTTTAACATTTGCTATCGTAGTGAAACCCTATGAACAAAATGTTTCTTAAAAGTTTGATATCTTGTTTGTGCTCAAGATATTAAAAGACAAACCACTATAAATGCCCCTACAGGAGACAGTATCAGAATAAGTCATTTGAAGGGGCAGACAGTACCGTCCTGAAAAAAACATTCTTGCTAGAGAGACCGGCCGGCGATGACGTGAATGTTGCAAAGAGTGATGTCTCTGTAAACATTTTATCAGACTCGAAGAGCCGCAAAGACATCAATAAATAAGAGAAAGACAGAAAGAAAGTCTTTCCCAACCCTGGTTCACAGATCCCCACCCCAACCTGCTGGTAAAACCAATGCAAGCCCCCATATAACTGGAATGAGTAAGAACACTAAGGGTACCCAGCCCCTTTCACAACAGTAAAATATCACTGTCTACGTCCCATCTGCTATCAGTTCATTAACTGACACATACAATACACAGAGAAGCAAGGCCAGTTCACAGAACACCACCTAAAACATCATCCTCACAGCTGCTGGTAGTCCATTTACACTCTAGTGTGATGTTAAAAACCATATGACTTGTTAGTATCACAACACTGACACTTCCAAGACTGCCAATTTTGCCAATAAGCAGTGACCAGTCACAACCACTGCTGCAAGGAATGGAACAGATGACCAACAGTCATACTGAGAGAGAAAAACCCGACAGATCAGGCCAAGGAAAGAAGCACTTTTGCCGTGTATTAGCCTACAATTACTTGTTGGAACAGGATGATACCAGTGACTTTAAGGATAGGTCAGGATTTTCTCAAGTCTCTTACTATAATTCTCACATGCCATATGAAAGACTTAGTTATTGCTGTGGTCATTCCCCCTCTCCATACTGGCCGTGATGTGGTATCTTCTTAGTGCAACTACAGTTAGAAACAGGACAAAGTCCACAGTTCTTCTTTGCTAAAATACCTTCTAAACTTGAAGTTGGGGTAAAATAAAATGTGTGTTTAGAAGTGTGTGTGTGTGTGTTTAGAAGTGTTTAAAAAGCTTGCTTGACGACACAATGGAGCTATTTAAGAACTATAGACACTGAGTTTTGTTGTTTGAAAAAATGAATCAAAATGACCGTTCTGCTGCAGACTGAGAAGAACAAGGTTCATTTTCAGGCAGGTCAGTTTCCTCTGGCTCTGAATTTGATTCTGGTTCAAACATGTCTGGCTGTACATATCCAACAAAGCTGTTACATGGAGCATACATTATGTTTCTTTAAATCAAAGCTAATATGAAGCTTTAGCTATCTGAAAAACAAATCGAGAGGTCAGGTGGGCATATTTGTTTTGGCAGTCCTATGTAGTTTTATTGTTTTGTCCTCCTATCAGAAACTACCCCTCAAGCACTGCTCAGCAATGAAACACTATTCATACAAATACATGGAGGGAATGTGATAGTAAAAAGTCTGTGACTTTTAAAGATAAGATAAAGTCTTTAGCCCAGTTCAGACCAAACATTCGCAACAAGATGCAACTTTTAGAACATTGCTGAGAAAAGTTCCAGCTGTGTAAACTGGCCGGTCTGAGCTCGACTCAAGCTGGCTGATGGTGTCACCAGCAACTCAGGTGGTCAAATGGCTGGCAGGTGGTTGAGAACATAAGGCTGGTCACCTATTTCAACAGCCGGTGGGCTTGTAGTGAAGTCCGCTAGTCAAGTCAAAATGACTGCAGACGACATCTTCGTCTCCCTGCTGAGCCCCTGTGTCAGTGGTCATGGTGTGCTGCGTCAGATGGTGGGTTGCTGCTGCTGCTCGCTTTATATACTTACACCAATTTGAGCTGCATTCGCTGCGGGGTTCAGTGCACCCAGCGCGGTGGCAGCTGCCCAAAGAATGGATTTCAGAGTGCAGCAGTGCTATTGTCCTGTTGTGTCTGAAAGGGTCAATATACTGTCAACTGTCTAGTATGAGGAGGAGCAAAGGGTCCTGTAAACTAACTAAAACTACATATTTGATCTGTTATACAAGTTATTAAAGTTTTGTTTAAGTCTGTGTTCAGGCATGTCAATGTCTCAAGAAATTGAATCTTGTAGAGGTGATGGGGGTGAAAAGCCTTGAGGAATGTAGTACTTTCCACTAGTGTCACTGTTGACAGAAGAAGCTAAGAGGAAAAGCAGCTCCAGAGATGGTTCAAGTAAAGGAGACACCTGCACAAAGTCCCTCTACAACGCATGCAATTCATAGCTCCACATTGGTGTACAGTGCTTTTGCATGGGATTAGGTTTATAATCCACAAAAGGTCTCAGCCTGTCCCAAAAGAAAAAGGCTCCTACTAATATCTCCCTGTGATGAGTTAAATCCCATGATGCATTTTGTTCTTAATAGGAGCAGTGTTTCATGAAGGACTACTTTCCTGTCAATGAGGCACTGGTCGTCATGAAACAATTTTAGGAGCACTGTGATGTTAGCTGGGGCTCCTGAGGCCTTCTGACATCGAAAACACTACAGCCATGACAGAAAACACAGCACACCATTACAAATCCACCATCATTACTGACGAAGTTCTTTATGCAGCTGGAATTATTATTTTAAAGGAATAATTCACTGCCAATGATCAGTTGTGTATTAATTACTCAACCCCTGTTAGGTTGAATTTCTGAAGGAAACTTTGTTTTTCTCACATGCCTACACAGTGAATGAAGAGAAAAATTCTTGTTGGAATGAAAGCATAGGGGTGGCTTTTAACTGCTAAGCTGTATCAAAATATCGGGGTGAATAACTGATATACTAATGATCATTTTGGGGGCTTAAGTATTCCTGTAACAACATCTAATCATTACACAAGGCAGCTTGTTTTATGCGTTGGAAACATCAATTGGAAACTGACTGCATCATGAAGCAGTATACACCTGAGCATTGAATGTTGTCTGTGACAGTATCCTGACGTGTCTGCCCCACTGAGTCTATTTACTACATTAGTCATTAGACACAGCAACTAGTTACAGGCCTAACCCAGAGATCGCACTGTGAGCAACATGATCAACAAGTCAAGGTTTGGTTCATTCATTCCTCTCCAGAAGTGAGAGCAGGGGAAGGCCACCAGCATTCACAAAGAAAAGCTTGGCCATGAAACACTCTGCGGCAATGTGGGAATTGTACTGTTCATAAAATCCACTTGGCCACTTTCTATCCCAGTGTACACTGCACAGGGTAGCTACCTGATTACAGTGTTACAAAGTGTTTGCAAATGGCCTCTAGTGCACATTAATTACTTAAGCTCTACATATTTATTAATATTTAATTAATAATTTTGTTTTTTTGAGAATCTCACAAAATCCACATCACATCACTGTGCCATCCTGGCCATCAAGAGATTTCTATGCACCCTCATTTACAAATCTAATTCAGCTCCTTAAACAGCCCTGTCTACAAAATTACAAAATGACTTTGATGTTGACAGTCAGTATGTTTACATGACATTAGAGAAAATCAATTTATTGTGTTAGTCCGAATAAAACTGGACTTTTAAAATATATGTTAACATATTAGTCCGACTGAAATTGTACTAAATCGAATTTCTCAAAGTCAGACCAACACACCCAGACAGTGTGACTGGGAATATAATTACTCCTGCATGTACACAGTCAATCAAACCCAAACTGGCCTAGGTGCTCTGCACATGCTTCACAGTTTCTGGCTTTGACCTGGAAGTCGAACAGCATTAAATGGGTAACAGAAGAAGAAGCAGGTAACATGGCGAAATCTACATCCAGCGTGCATCTCATCTGTACAAAAAGTAAAAGTGTACAGCACGTACGAAATGTACAAAGCTGTTGGTACCAGTTTGCTGCTAGCTAACCATAGCTCACGTTTGTTGATTGTTGGGTCTGTGATGTAATAGGTCAACCGAAAAAAGGTCCAATACTAACAAGGCATTTCACCACCCATCATATCAGAGAAGAACATATTTCGGTCATTAAATCAATTCCCCTCCTGTGCTTGTATACTGGGACAAGGACAGTAGTCCAATTAAATGGCCAAGTCGAGCTATGACTGTAGCTTGAATTAGGTGTGCATGTAAACGTACTGAGTTATAGCCAGTCACCTCCAACTGTTGTTTGAAAGACAAAGACGGCATGAAAGTCAAACAAACAAAGATCTAAACTTTGGTCCATTAATGCTACTCACTTATCAGCTAGCTACATGAACAATGGGATGATGCATAATTTGCTCATTTAAACTGTAAGGACTCATTCTTCAAACCAAGTCATTGCCCACTCATCTACAGCATCTAAAGCTCCTTTATTAACAGTGGAATCGAGAGCGATCAGACAATTATGATGCTTTTCTGACACAAAAAATCCAAAAATCTAAAGGTGAAAATAAGCATGATTTGAGCTTCTTTCAAGCCGTCTTTTTCATTGTCACTGTGTGTGTGTATAATGGATAACAACACGAGCGCCTTCGAGGACAGACTGTTCTAAAAGGTGCATCGTCACCCTAATCCATTCGACGTGATACGGTCAAGTTTATATGGAGCACACTGAATCCTCAATTATTTGCAGGAAATTAATTCCACTTCTCACACCTTCTGCAGTGCATCCAAATCGGTATGACTCATTTAACCAAGTAACTCACAGTGTTACGACCAGTATGTGTGTGGGCATGTATGTGTGAGGTGTCAACCAAGGGCTAATTTACACTGCAAAAGACCTGTTGCAGCTGCGAACAATGAAGGTGCACTCTGGTCCAAGCCTGTCTCATTTCTGAGGTGTAGAAAAAATATGAATAGAAAACACTAAAAGTAGCAGCAATACAACTAACCAGTTACATTAAGAATGGAACTTACAATGGTCTGTCAATTCCTCATGAAGATAAAAATGACAAAAGAAAACAGGTAAAAGCTGTCTTATCTGCAGTCCTGTGATCTGGGGTGTGATGACACTGGTGAAACTAGAGAAAAGAATCAGCGGAACAAAAAGACTTGGTACCACCTTGAATTTTAAGGTGTGCTCTGCACAAACACGTAAACGTGTTTTTCCGACACTGTGTATGAGGGGCAGACCAAAACAGTGAGCTAATTTTACAAGGTTTAAATGTTGCAGTTAAAGAGGATGTGTAGAATTGATCAACACTGTCCTATCAGTCTATTTAAAGCCCCAAACCTCAACCGTCTTAATACAGTAGTTTTATCTGCATAAGAATTGATTAATATTCTGCCCCGTGATTTGGGCTCGGAAATGTTCAATATCAGAACAACAAATTGTCAGACAAACCTTTCTGTATCAACTGCAAAAATATTGGTCCAAATAATTTAAGCTGAAAGAGATCTAATGGCCTGTTGATGTACTTTTTCCAAACTGTAATGTTTAAGACTCACAGGAATATGTGAATTCAAATGCATATCTCTAAAAAATATAATTATTTGAACTACAGTCATTTCGGCCAGGTGCTGCTGTGTTAACCGTTCAACCTCCACATATCAAATGCTTTTTAGAGTTTAACTTTTTTTTTTAGTCCATCAATAATGTAACATCAATGGTAACCTGGGTCCAAGGTGAACTTAATGATTCGAGTGCAGCTATCCAAATCAGATAAATTATTCTGAGGTCATACTAAGTTGCAAAAATCCACCACTTCTGTTTTCAAGCCCGTCACTGCTTTCTGTATGTGCAGAGACACTTTTACCAAGGTAACTAAGCACTGAGTCTGCTTTCAAATCACTAGCTTCACATCTCAGATCTCCCATCGCATTAGACTGAAAGGGGCGCATGACAACAGAGCATTTGAAATATGTGAGCTGATCAGGTGACTTGAACCAGCAGCTCTGGCACTGGACTGTTGACCTGATTTAAATGTTTTGGCTATGATCACAGTGCTCCTCAAAGGTCTAAGACTAATTTATTCCTGAAAATGGGCACACAATTTTGCAGGGTTGGTGCCAAACTGTCTTTACCATTTATGAAAACCAACTGAAAATACTTCCTAGTAGGTCAGAATATGTAATGCAGCTTAACCAGTTTGATGACTTTCGCAAACGGACTGATCAGAGGCATTTTAACATCCTTCTGGATACAGTAGATAATTACATCCCTTAATGAGCAGATCTTTGTCATGTTATAAAAGAATAGAAGATTCACCATCAGACTAAAAGTGTTACGGTTATTTCTGCAGTTACTGAGTTTTGCGCTGAGTGCTGCAGCTCCGGGGCTCTGCAGGGGCAGGAAGTGAGTTGGGGGTTGTGGTCTGTCAGGACAGTCAGCCTGTGGCCTCTCTGAGACACCTGAATGCCTCACACTGTGATGGTTTTAGACAGGTGACGACTTCTCTGCCCCATGTTGTGGGGAGCTTAGAGGGGCACCAGCCTGGTGGTGTGGAACAGAAGGGGGTTCAGGTCCTCAGCGTGGACGGCCCGATGGAGCGACGGCTCTGAGCGACTCCTCTCGATTTTTGGCAGCAGGTCTTGAACCTGCTCAATTGCTACCAGGATCTGATGAAAGGAAAACAAATACAAAACCTGAATAATCACTTCATGGTTGTGTGCCTCTTTGATCCACTTACATTGCACTTCAAGTTTACATCCATGTCTGTGAAAACATGAATGCTTCACACACATCTTCCCCCTGACAGTACAGAAGATCTATACAATCAGCACAGTTTCAGTGTCACGGTGACCTTGACCTTTGACAACCAAATTCTTATCAGCTCTTCACTGAGTCCAAGTGGATGTTGGTACCAAATTTGAAGAAATTCCCCCTATATCGTGTTCACAAAGATGTAGCAGTTACCAGCAGCCACAAGTGTCTGCAAATTGCGAAAAACAATGAGGTCTGGGAGCTCCATACACTCTGAGGAGAGGCCGAGACTTAAAAGAGATGGTAGATGAATGTTACTGACATTTTATGCCATTGTTACTGTTTAGAAAGCACTGCCAACGCATAAGTTATATGACACACTAAAGGCAGACACATGCCCATTATGCCTCTTGCTTTTGTGATGCGGTCATGCAATCTGAAATCACAAACTAGAGCAGCATGATGCTGCCATTGTTTAGCTCTGTGTCAAACCGCAAAGGCAGCATAAAGAAGGGACTCCATAGTGGCCGTATCCACCTTATTTTCAAACACGGAAGTAAACAGTGATCAACTTCCGTGTTTTTGTGAGTGACTTCCGGTCAGCCGCTTTCCCTTTCCAGAGCTAACGGTGCAAGCTAATTTTTTTCAATTTTCAATTGTTTGTTAGTCAATCAGTTAGTTAGTTAGTTAGTTAGTCTGTGTATTTTATATAGATAACTGCACCCGCGTTTCTGTTACCCGGTAATTGCTAGTAAAAATAATTCCCTCTAAACGCGAATAAATCGCACATCAATCAAAAACTATGAACCAAAGCAGCACAATCTATCCCGAGTGAGACAAACTGCTTGATCCCCATCTCCAGTGTACCAGCAGAGAACCTGCAGAACCGAATCAGCGAAAAACACACCAAGCTACACAGCCTCTCTACCTGAGCAGCTGAAGCTGCGGCTCGCACCCTCGGCACACAGACACACAGACAGTGCTTCTGCATGCCAGCAAAACATGTGCGCAACTGTGAGAAATAAATATGTGAGGTGTAAGCTGCTTTTCTATCTTTTTTTGTTTTCTTTCTTTCTGTCAGCGACATACACTCCTAACAGAGGACGGGTTGTTTTTATTGACTGAGTTGATTATTAAGCCACAGTGATGCGCGGATCGGCACTGATAGCACCCGAATCAGCATGTACGCATCAACCATCCAGCCGTTACAACATGATTGAGCTAGCAAAGCAGTTTTGTGTTGCTATGTGTGGTATTTATTCAGTTTTGGGAAATCACGATGTCTAGAAAGCATCAGTGGCTGCAGCTGACAGGGACAGCTAACGTTAACACTAGCAGCAAAGCTAACATCAGGACATCATCTGTTAAAAGCCTCCTGTTGTCGGATATGACATGAAACTACTCCAATTAGCTCAATCATGTTGTAACTAAGACATCTGCTGGAAAAAATATTTTTTCAAGGACCGTTTATTGAGTTATTACAGACACCTCTAATGGCTAACAGCTAACGGTTAGCCCGCCTAATCTACGATAACCATGTCATTAATTACAAAACGTGCACATAAAAATAGTAATGTTTGTTCAATCATTGTGTTTATAGACTTTACAAAACTAAACTCAACAAGGTAAACAACAGGGCGATTCCCATTTACACAGTGGTCAAGAGTGCTGGACCGGAAGTGTTGCACAAAAAATAGGAAGCTGGCTGTTTTCTGTTTTGTCTCCGTGTTTCCGTGAAAAAATAAGGTGAAAAAAGGGCTGTTGAGTAAAGTGAAGTTGACCTTTGACCTACTGGATATAAAATGTCATCACTTCAGCATTTCATTGTATTCTATTCTATTGTGAGATCACAGTGACCTTTAACCACCAAAAACTAATCAGTTCATCATTAAGTTAAAGTGGACGTTTGTGCCAAATCTGAGGAAATTCTCTCAAGGGGTTCCTGAAATAGCATTCAGAAGAATGGGATGGATGGATGGATGGATAGATAACCCAAAACGATAATGCCTTTGGCTGCGGCCGTCAAGGAGGCATTAAAAAAAGCTAACTGCATTCCTGTTGCTCAAACGCAATTGGTCAATAGTACTCGGACTACAAACAGAAAGCAGAACACTTTCTGATACCAAAATATTGTCCCACAGATTCTACATACATATGAAGATATGTCTTTACAGAAATTAGTTTTTACTAGATGATGATAACACAGGTTTTTGTGCTTAGTTGGACTTCTGCTAGTTTTGTGTGATGCCTTTTGGTATATGCGCAACATATTCACTACTCACCTGGGGAAACAGGGGCCTCTCGTCACGTTTGAACTTCAGGCAGTCAATGATAAGCCTTTTCATTGACTTGGGTGAGGTACTATACAGCTTACTGAGGTCTGGAGACAAGTAACCACGTCCAACCATAAAGATTATCTGAGAAAGACAACAGAGGGTAAACTGTTGCAGAAGTCTGACTGATCTATTCATGTAGGGGAACTTCAATTTAAACTGTAGTTAAAAAAAAAAAAAAAGGAAAAAAAGAAAAGAAAAAGGAATTCCAATGTCTGCCAACAGGTTTTTAAAGTCTTCACTTGATTCAGCTGGTGAATGTGAGAAACCCACTGAATATGGTGATATATGCCTATCCATTCATTGGTCAGTTAGAGGAACCCTTTGGTCCAAAGTGAATAACTCTGACATTTTTTGGATGGATTGCCATGACGTTTGGTGTAGACATTAATGGTTCAAAGTGCTGACTTTCTATTAGACTTGCACCGATTAATCGGCAGTGCTTGAAATCGGGCAGTTTTTCATGTGATCGGCTGTGATTGGCCGTGACCTGCGACCAGCCAGTCAGTCTAAGAAATGCCGATTTAAAACGCCGGTCAAATTTCGGCCGCGCCACATGATTGACATCATGTAACATCAGCAGCGCACACACACACACACACACACACACACACGTACAACTCAAGGCTTGGGCGATGTGAGGAAGTGAAACATGGGCTGCTTCTCACCTTAATCATTCATGCACACACATCAAAAGGAGAAAGCTGTTAATTGTCCGTGTTAAACTTAACTGTGGAGCTCTCACTGCTGCACTGTGCCGCTTGAAACTGACGAGGCGCGTGTCCGCATGCCAAAGATGCGCGTGTCCATGCGCTTACTGGCGGGCACGCCCCTAAGACCTGTGTGAATTTTCCACAGGAGATATTTTTACTTTTTTGTCTATTCAAGAAATTACCCACAAATGCTATACACCAAGAATTATTATTTTATTCATCCATGTTTTTATTTATGTATTCCTTTTTTACTTATTTATTTTAATACTGTACCTGAAGTTATATTTGAGCAGAAAGGAAAATGTTTCTTAAAAGGTTAAGAAACATGTCACTGTTTTTGTTTGTTTGTTTGAGATGATTATTGAAAAGCTGGTTGTATCTTGGTTAAAATGTTCTAATAAAACAAAAACAGAAAATATTGCAATATCTTGTGTGCTGCAAAGTGGTTTGAAAAAAATGAAATCGGAATCAGCCATCCAAACACCGCAAATCGGAAATTGGTACCAGCCCAAAAAAATTGTAATCGGTGCAAGTCTACCATCTATCTTGTTCCACCAACAGATCACAATTTCACTTGCCCTACACTTGGTTTAAGACAAGATATCTAAGGAATGACCAATAAACTAATTCCCACTGAATTTGCTTTAGATATTGACGATATGTAGAAATTAAAGCTAAAATGATTAGAAAACAAATTAATCTGCAGTGATTTCGATAATTTGACATTTCAGTAATTTATACCTGATTAAAAAGTAGAGTGTGTTCTCAACTGGTATAAACATTAGAGAGGACAATTGTGTTTGGAAAAATGTTCTGTAAGATGAACTGGATTAATCAAATTGTCTGCTTTAGACTACGTCAGTGTTGTGTCACCACAGAAGAAAGTTGCATTATATCACCTGGTCTCTGTTGTTGATATTGGAGTAAGGCAAGGTCCCTGACATCAGCTCAAACAGCACCACTCCATAGCCATATACATCAGACTGGAACGTATATGGGTTGCTGTCCTGCATTCGGATCACCTCAGGAGCCTCAGGAAAAATGGGATGAAAATGACCCAAGTAAGCATTTAATTTGCATATTGACCAGCCAAAATATCATGATAAAATTACACTTTTTAGCTTTTATATTTAGCTTTTAATTCAACAATCATATCTTAAATTAAGCAAATATATCTCACTTGTTACACCTACGTGTATATATTTGAAATGGATCCTGTATTATAAAAATCAGTTTTATCACATTTACAAGGAAGTTAATATGCAGTAAGGTGCACCAAAATCTAATTAGGTCATCAAATATACAGCGAGACACTGGTTAAAATTCTTATTACACTGGTATTATTATTGTTATATGTTAAACTTTTGTCTGGTTATTATCATCTGATGACATAATATATGTTACATTGTGGAGAGACATACAGAAAAAGTTTTTTTCTGGGCACCTCAGCAGTGCCCAGGAGGTTAACTAGCACCTCTCCAGCAACCAGTCCATGCTCAATATTTTGGTCCGGGTGGGGACTTGAGCTGGCAACCCTCCGGTTCCCACACCAAGTCCCTACTGCCGCCCCATTGGTACTGCTATTGTCATTTTTTACCCAATACCCAGGCCTTGTCAAAAAGTATTCCTTCATGTTACAGTCTGTAATAATCAGAGACATTTTAGTGGATGCTTCTTCACTGAATCAAAGTAATCACATACAGTTAGAGAGACTTACCATCCACAGAATGGATCCACTGGGCTGTTCTACCTGTTGAGAGCCACTCCACCGAGACTTCACTGTGGCCAGGCCAAAGTCACCGATCTTAACAGTCCAGCCCTCGTGGAGAAAAATATCTAGCAGCTGAGCTCAGGAAACATAACAACATGATTTATAAATTCAACAGTTACCACAACACCTTTAATAACCAAGAAATTACGAGAAGTTAGAGGTCTAGAATGGAAAACACACACTGAATACAATTGTGATTCCCATAAAATAGACTTGGCCAAGGGGCAGCCAGCATTCATTTTGATCAACAAAACACAAATATTACGTGTTTTCAGATGCAAATGTTTGGGAAAAGGTCATGTTATCCTTTGCATTTAGGATCACTGACCTGCTAAAATGCAGTGTGTTTTATTCTGCTTACCCATGTAGATGCTAACACCCTGAAAGTCAAAACCTACTAGTCATTCACACAGTAGAGAAAACAATTTAACATCTTACCATTGTAAAACTCTGAATGTTCTCTACATGTCTACCTATCACAAGGTTATGATTCATGCTTGTGGTTAAACCTTAGTTAGAACGGAACACATCGCTTATATTTGCCAATGTGGTTATTGGTTGCATCACATTAGGGTACAAAAACCTGTATGTCTGCATTGTTAAAAGGTAACACCACACAATAAAGGATACTGTTTGATTTCAGATCTCGGTGAATTATGTTCTTCGCATGAAGATAACTGAAAGGGGGGGGAAAATCAAAATCATTGATTTCATCTGTGTAAGGAAAAAGGCAGAGCATCAAGTTTTGACAAGACTTGTCTCAACTTACTGCATCCTGCACAATAATAGAAAGCTACAATGTTAAGCCATCAACTTTCTCAGAGGCTCTCTTATAGTATTAAGTCTTTACTTTTACTACTTTTAACTACATTTGCATTAACTTAATCACATCACAAGTTTATAAAAAAAAAAATCAGTATCTCAAGGAATGATTATTCTCTATCAAAATAACATTCATTCTTACAAAGTGCACAAAGCTGTGTACTGGAAAAAACACTGCATCAAATTGACACTTGATGTCTAGTATTTAAAAAAAGGGTATTGGTAGTTAGTAAGTGGTAATGGTGAAATGGAATCTAGCTGCAGGTCTTACTCCATGCCCTGTGCTGTCTGTCTGGCCACATCAATGCGACGCATAGTGTCAAACTTGGTTTCTGTGACATGCAGATGGCGGTACAAGCTGCTGCCTTCACACCACTGTGTGATGATGGCAAAGTTGGGCTTAGTCATATAGCCCATGAACAGCAGGATGTTGACATGGCGGGTCTTCCTGCAGAGAACAGAAATGGTAATAGTGTTAGATATTCCATTGTTCGATCAATGATCAGATTTAGATCAAGGTACAGTTTTTGAATTGTTATTATTGAGAGTGACAAATAAATGCAATAAACAAAATGAACTGGTGTTGGCTGAAGTCAAAGTAGTGACCACAGAGTTATTAGAACATTGCACTAAATTGATTAAAAGCCTTATTTTAATTAGGCTGCAGCAAAGCCAGGTCAGATATATAAACCCATTTGTTCATAACTGAGTCACTGACATCACTGGCCATTGCTCTTTCAAAGTGAATAGGTGCAATCAGACCTCAAATTGCCGGTTTACGCAAAGCATAGTTATTGAGGAACAGAGGGACGTAAGATACTAAAACTGTAATTTAACTTGTATAAATACTGAGGCTGCATTTGGTAACCAAAACTAGGCATTTCTGCAAGACTGCATTAGTTGACATGTCGAGGATTCATTCTGGAACAATCATGTGCGTTACTCATCACATATCAGGTGTTTATGCAAACAGACGCACAGTTAACGTGTTGCAGAGAAAAAAGTAGGACCAGGAATAACAGTTGCAGCTTAGAATACATCTTGGATGGTTGCAGCCTTAGAGTGAATGCAGGTTGCAGGCAAACTCAGAGTAGACATTAACAGTGGTGGGAATTATATGTGTCCACTGCACAGTTGTCCTTGTTTAGGAGTTTTTCAGTCAGTAGCTTGACCTGTCAACAGCATTTAGACCTCTCTTGCCAAAAACAATTACTGCCGCATGTTAATCACTGAATAGTCAGATACAGCCTGACTGAAAGCCACAGAGCACTGTAAGCTAATAAGTGCTCCAGTATGTGCATGGACTGTTACTATTCTGTATCAAAAGCACAGGGCTTGCAGCACAAACACACAAACCACCAGGAGCCCCCAGAATGAAAAAATTCGCTGCCATGTGTACTATGTTTAATGCAATTCTTTCCTGGTGTGTAAGGTCCCTTTGGTTTTTTACAGCCATGGTGGTGTATGGGTTGAGCCATAATGTTTTGCAGGGGCCTTTTGCTGAGATCAGTGGTAATGTGCATGTGTCATGCTACTACAGCACACTTGAAAAAAAATACATTACTGGAACCAATACAGAAAATTGCAGATGAATATCCAATATTGAGGAATTATTAATGTACATTTAAACAGCATGTATTTAGACACTATACTAACAATTTGGCCAAAATTAAGTAGGTTTCAGTCTAGCCTTGTTAAAATTGATTTTTACTGATCACAAAGGTTTCATTAATGAAAGCCCATTGATCAATAGTGTGAATATATTTTCCTTATTAGAAAACAAAATGAAATGAAAATGAAAATGAAAATGAAATTGCCAGTGCCCTTTTCCAAATAAGACTCACCGTAAGACCTGCATTTCATTTTTGAAGGCCTGCAATTGTTCAGGCGTTGGCTCGGTGACTTTAAGGATCTTGATTGCCACGTCTCCGTGCCACTTGCCCTTGAAGACTGTTCCAAAGGAGCCAGCACCTATTCTCTTCTGAATGGTGACTTCTCGAGAGTGGACCTCCCAGTAGTAACTTGAGTCTCTGTAGCCTCCTCGGTGCTGAAATAACATCATTTAAATGTACTGAACTGCTAACTAACACCAGAAGTAAATTCCTTTTCATATTTAATTGTTAAAAGTATTTCCTTTTTATACTTTTACTCTATATTTTTATATATTTTATATACTTTGTTATGCACCAATACACCAAGCCAAATTCCTTGAATGTGAAAACCTACTTGGAAATAAAACCGATTCTGATTCTTTACTGGAGGTTTTTTCACAATCAATTTGTTTAGCATTCACAACTAACTCTTTACACTTGTCCAAGACAACCAATGACTTGTGAATAAGGTCAAAGACCACATACCACTTTCTTTTTGTCATCTGATGAGGAGGGCTTGCGCTCCTTGTGCTCTGAGGGAGACTTGGGCGGTCTCCTTCCTGGGGAGCCAAGAGAAGAGGGTGGGCTGGTGGAGGGCTTTGGTGAGGGCTCAGGACCTGCAGGAATGAGGGTGAGTACAAGAGAGTATTTCAAAACAGGAGAGTAACACCAAATGTAAAATGAAAAGTGAATACAAATTCTGAAACAGAGAAGGAGGAAAAAAACACATACCCATTGTGTTGTTGAATTTTAGTGCTTCCTAAAAAGGGAGGGGGGACCCAACATTATAAACTCATATTTGATAACTTAACACAAGCAAGCAGAAGCTACTGAGGTCAGTGCTTTTTCATAACTACTTTATTAGCACTTTCAAAACCTGGACCTAGGTGTGAAACTGCCTTACTGACTTGGTGGGTTGTACTGAAAACTGTATCAAAAAGCTACCTCAGCAAAGCTGTTCAAGGTTAACAATTTCTGATGCACCACAGCCAGTTTGCTTTATGTTTACACCACAAAGTGCGATTGTGGTTTTACAGGCAATTATTAATGAAGTTTAACCATTTTGTTACATTGTATGCTTTGAAATATTGAACAGGTACACAGAGTGGATGTAAACAGATCCTTGCAGCAATGGCAACCATTCAATACACTGACCAAGAAGCCGAAACTGACCTCTATGATGCTGGCACCAGCAGGGCCCACTGTGCTGACCATATGAACATTGGGAGTGGAGGTGGAGCGATGCCTCTGGAGAGACTGGCCATCACCACCCGGCATGGGGAAGCGAAAGGTCGGGGACAGGAGGTCCATCCTGTGCGATCAAGTAAAATAGTTACAGCTTATATTTGAATATCAGTATATATACTAAGACTTAACTGTCTTTTGAATATAATCTGTTTATAGGAGCTTACCCAGCAGGCTCTGGGGTTAAGGCTAGATTGCTCTGTGATGGGGAATTATCTGGCAATAGTATCCGTGGGTACTCATCTGTGCAGGGACTAGGATCACATCTAGACAAAACATAGGACAAAAGGCATAGGACAAGATCAAAAAGACATACTGAAACAAGGTGTCAGACAAAGGAACACTCATTAAAAGACTCAGCTCTGGTTATCTGAAATTGAAGCTTTTTCAACCTGGACTCCCTGACTCTCTGATCTGATGAACACTGCTATTCAATGAACTATTCAAGGGTTGGTGTTCATTTCTTTTGCAAAAAAGCTGACAAAATTAATTTAGCGATAACCTTTCTTTCAATGACTGAGAAGATTTTGACGTGATGAAAGTGATATTGGCAAACAGAAACACTCATTACATCTCCTCATGATATCACAGATTTAAAACGCAAAAGGGACGCATAAATTTTTGGTGACATAAAAGACTGATGTGACAGTAAGAATCAACCTTTCAGACATTTTTGTTCATCAGTAGCTCCTTTTCATTGGATAATGGCTGCATGTTTCACTAAACAATTGCACCTAAACTCTCTGTATTAGAGCACCTGCAGCATGGACAATGCTGCAGGTGCAGCAGGAAAGTTTTTTCTTTCTTTACAGAGTGCATAATAATCTTTCCTTTATATCTGGTCCCACATACTCCTGTTTCTGAATATGAATGTTAATTCTTGACCTCAGAAACACTTTTACTATAAAAATAAACAACAAAATACAGAGAGTCTAACTAAGCAAGCTGGGGAAGACAGTGAAATGAGATTTAAAGCTCCTGAAAAAGCTAGTATATGAAGTTCAACTGACAATTTAACTGAAAAGAATTAATGTGTTACTATTATTGTTGTTGTTATCATCATCATTAATGTATACTGAGCATTTTTTCTCCAACTCACCGTTTGCTCACGGTATCCATGTCCACACACACAGTAGGGACCTTGCTACTGCAATGCTGGTGAAATTTGTAGCCACATGTCTGACATCTGAAGCCATTAAAGAGAAACTTGTGGCAAAAATCACAGTAAGCCAGCTTGAAGAAGGTTTTCCGTACCTACACAAATAAAGAAGCCATAACATCAATTTTTACACCAACAATGTTAACGAAACATTTGGGCATAAAATGACTATTAACTCAAATATCAAGTGAAATGCCAACCAAGTCAGTTCCGAATAGGTTGAGACTCTGTAAATATAGGCAATGTCAGAAGAGTCACAAACGTGTTTGCCAGCTACTTACAAAGTTGTGCATGGTAAGGGGAATATCATCCAGGACCTCGACTAAAAGCTCCTCTCCAACCAGTGGAGTGATGTCTGTGTCCCAATCTGTCAGTCTCTTTCGACTGGAGAAGCAGAATCATAAAATGTGAAAAACATATTGGAAAAAAAAAAAAACAGTTTGTATCGGTTTAAAACCCACAGATTTCCACACCTGAGGTGGATATTTACACCATTTTAGTGTTTCTCACGATGCAATGGTGTTTAACTGTTAATATCTTATGATGTTGTCATGAAAATTGACCTTCTATGGTCTGTATCAGCTAATACTGCATGATAAACTCATCTATCTTAGAAAATCATCAAAGATGATCACTGGAAGATCACCAACATGTTTTATTATATTAAATAAAACTCTAAAATTTCTTGTGGCCACATCAAATTGTATTCACCTATCAAACTTTCCTCTTCAAATGACATCCGTCTAAATGCTGTAAACATATAAAGACTGTGGTGACACTCCGCTGTTGCCATGATTCACCGGTCAAGTCCCATTAATCAGCAGACTCATTTCTATGCATCAACCTTCATAAAAGGTGCTTTGTATTGACCATTCATGGTTGAATGTGGGTGTGTAGAGGGCAGGATATGAGGCTGATTCTCGTCCGACAATTCCAAGTTGATTTGGATTTATAAAAGGAAATTGTGCACTGTCAGGTGTACACACAGTTTTATAAAACAGAATATGTTTTGGTATACACCATTTTCTGCTTTTGTTCGCACTTTGTACACTTTTAGCATGGATCCTACACACTGTGTTATAAATGACACCCCTGGTTTGTTTGTTTTGGAGAGAAGAGATCTCTATGGATAATTCATCTCCTGATAACAACCTCTTGAACAATGGACACTCAAGGAATTCTAACCAGTAGAAATTTCAGACGGATTGCAATCTGTAATCGTCATCACTAGATACCACTAAATCTCCCTAAATCTTACACACCGGACCTTTAAAAGTAAAATTCACCACCTTTACACCCACCAAAAAATTTAAATGCAACCCTTTGTTTTTGCTACCATTTTTCACACGTTTAAGTTAAAGATCTACAAATCTCATGCACAAAAAAGGTTTTTTTCTCAAACTGTGGTCGCAAAATTGTTAAAACCCATGTCAGTGAGCACTTGTTTCATGCAGTGCGACATCACTTTTACATACAGTTGATCAGGTTGTTGATTGTGGCCTGTGGAATGTTGGCTCAATCCTCTTCAATGGCTGTGTGAAGTTTCTGGATACTGGCAGGAATTGGAAAATGCTGTTGTACAAATTGATTTAGAGAATCTCAAAAATGCTCAATGGCTGACATATCTGGTGGGTATGCAGGCGAAGCACGAACTGGGGTGTTTTCAGATCCAGGAATTGTGTACAGATCCTTGCAATGTGAAGCCGAGCATTATCATGCTGCAACATGAGGTCATGGCAGCAGATGAATGGCATGACAACGAGTCTCAGGATCTTGTCATGGTATCTCAGTGCATTCAGACTGTAATTAATAAAATGCACCTGTGTCCATAGCTTATGCCAGTCCATACCATAACCCCACCACCATGGGGCACTCTGTTCACAATACTGGCATTAGCAAACCACCCACTCACACAACACCATACAGTGTCTGCCATCTGCCCGGGACAGTGTAAACCAAGCTTCATCTGTGAAAAGAACACTTCTCCAGATGCCATCAAAGCCCACACAAGTCAGTTACAACAACAAACTACTGTCAGGTCAAAGCCCTAATGAGGACCATAAAGACAGGTATCAGCTTTTCTGAGACTGGTGAAGATGTTGGATATGGACGTCCTGAGCTGGTGTGGTTACACTTGGTCTGCGGTTGTGAGGCTGGTTGCCAAATTCATGGAAACGACATTCTAGGCATCTTATGGTAGTGAAATAAATGTTCAGTTCACAGGCAACAGCTCTAGTGGACATTCCTGCAGTCAGCATGCCAATGGCACGCTCCCTCAAAACATGTAACATTTGTGGTATTGTGATGTGTGATGACACTGCACATTTTAGAGTGGCCTTTTATTGTGACCATCCCAAGGTACACCTGTGCAGTAACGATGCTGTCTAGTCAGCATCTTGATATGCCACACCTGAGGATGGATTATCTTGGAAAAAGAGAAGTGTTCACTAACACAAAATTTGCAACCAAAATTTGAGAGAAACACATTGAGTGCATAAAAACTCTTAGATCTCAAACTTAAAACTGTGCAAAATTGAATCAAATTTTAAAAAAGTGGCATTTCAACCTTTGTTCAGTGTTTATGAGACAGGTACTATTGTTTAGCATGTATAATGACTTAAGCACACAAAATCAGTGTGCACCGCAATCCATACTTCAGTCTTGTTACTTCATAAAAATGCCAACAAACCACATTGTACAATATGTAGATCTGAGACTTATGCCAATCCATTTCTGTTGCCTCTTGATCTTTTATAAAGACCATTAAGGCATGCAACCTGTTATCCCTATACGGTGTTTAAGAACATTAAGCAGTTGAAAATGCATTCTCACCCCTCTAGAAGGCGAAATACAGCACAGCAGTCTTGGCTCAGGCCTCTCACTTTGAGGGCTTTATCTAGACTCTCATAGACAGTCTGTCCTTGGCGAACATTCACCTGAAAACAGAAAACTTAATTTGAACAAATGTGACTTTGAAATGACATCCATTGGTCAGGTATGTACAGGTAACAAGGAAGTACACCAGAAGTACTGATAAGCAAAAATCTCAGCTACACTACAGACTTTGATATTGTGACAGAACTTCTGGCAGACTAAAACTCAGTCCAAAGTACAGATCACTTGTTCCCCAAATAATATTGCTGCATTCCTATGTTAACCACAATAAAGATCATATGACAACATTGTGGGATGTCATCTAACCACAGCTGCTGGTTCCATGGTTATGTTACCGCAGAAGATGTCCCAATTATGTGACTTTCTGACATAGTGACACAAAACAAATTCGGTACATAGTGTTGTATGCCTGTTCATTTTATATAAAAAGCCAAGTAGAGAAACTGGAAGTCTGCAATATTACAGCAAATGTCACAAAACAAAGTTTAACTGAAAGGCATGGAAAGTGGACATGTAGGCTATGCAAGACTTGCTGAGCGCAGACACATGGCTTGCTGTTTTACAGTTTAAGAGTATAACAATAGGAGCACACTGTCCTCCATTCAATTTTAACTACAATGCACAATCATCATTATCACTAATGTTACAATTTAGCACTTGACAGGACAATTAAACAACTATTTTCAGAATATGAAAACAAGACGTGTCTGATAGAAATAATAAATCAAATGAACGTCAGTGGCAGGCACCATCTGTGAAATCTGATACCAACCATCCACTAGCTTACTCATCAACTTAGTTTGAAAGGTGTGAGTGATAACACTTACAACCAACAGTACTGGCATCACTTTCACAGAGGTGGTAATAGTCAGCAATCACTAATTAATCTAGATACAGCATACTTATATTTATATTAGCCATATGTAAAAAATACAATTTTCTGCTGGATTACTGTCTGATAAAGGACAGTACAGAGCCAATCATCTCACCACTGTCCTCTGTTTGTTGGGGAGGTAGACTCGGATGGTGCCCCCACCTCGGGGTACATCCTCCGGACTAGTCTCCCCTGAGGAGGAGTAGGAGGAGGAGGTGGAGGACATGATGAGAGGCAGGAAGAGCTGGGACACGCAGCACTTAGACACCACAACCTCAGGAGAGCTTCATGCACAGTGGGATCCAGAAGAGTTAGCCCTTTATTTGGAGCCTGCAAAAACATGGACATATTTCAGCATGGAGACAATATATCACCTGTGTAAATAAGTGGATCTTATTATTGGAGAAAAGGGCATTTTCTGTTCTACATAATGGATATGATGGGTTGCGGGTGTAGATGCCTCTCCTAAGAAATCAGCTGTAAGAATCCAACACAATGCACCCCTGACACTGTACATGATTACAAAACAAAAATAATAAGCAAGAAAATTAGGAATATAATGTCACAAAAGATGTGCAGCCCATGCAAACAAGCAAAGCTGGACAAAGCTAATGTTGGGCTATCCATATCAAAAAAAAGAGCATGAATCAGGACAATTTAGTAGTCATCCAACAATGTTAATTATGCAAATGCTAAATAATAAATAAATACAACTTATGATAAAAAAAGTAGAGCACTCCGATTAATGACAGATTTTAATTTCTCCTCGCTGTGGAATTACACAGCATGGAGTACATGGAGGGGGTGAGGACGCAAAACATCTCTAACTTCTCAACACTGCCCTTATTTTGTGGCAAGAAGGCGATGCCAAACTACTAAAAATGCTGAGAGCACAGCAGAAACAAGAAACACTAGTGTACCGGATAACAATCAGAACGGACACTTAAAGATCTTTACTTTCTAATGTGACTGAAAATACTATGTTTGTTTGGTGGATACATTCACATAACCCAAATAAACCCTAATGAGTTGTGAAATACTCTCAGTCATTATCGCATAAGTAAAAACTCTTGTTGTTGACGAGGAAAACAATTGACTGCCTACGTTTTTCTTAATTAAATCAGGCAATACAGGAGAGAATGGCACAAACCCGGTCTTAATGTTAACGCTACTCCTGAGCAATTTACCAACACGAACGGCAACGATGTTCACAATTAAGATTACCAAACAGAACAAATATTAACTTACCTTAGATGATGTAACATTAACCAGGCACGTGCCAGCCAGAGCTTTAAATTAATGCAGTAATTAAGTGCTGACAGCCAAAGTCGCAAAATTGCTAACAAGCATGCTAACGCTAGCTAACGTTAGCCATTTAGCTTAGCATGGGATTTGCCTGCAATGCAATGACATTTTGAGTTTTGGGAGGCCATGTTTCTCTCGGGGCGGCAGTTAAACGACTTAAACTAAGTTTTAAAGGTAGATTAATACGAAGTGGATAAAAGGTAAAGTAATGCCAATAAAATGCTAACGATACAAAGTTATCATAGCGTTTGTAAATTCCTCTCAGCTTGATTTGAAACGGTGCGAGCTAGCTGGCTAAATGCTGACTGGAGTAGGAGAGGAGATTATCTGGCTAACTCTGAAGCTAATTTAGCTGAACGTTACTTTACTGTGTAGGGCTTTTACGCTACCTCTAGCCTGCTAACATTAGCTAATTTGGAGAAGGGGGGGGGGGGGGTTACCATCTCGTCAGCTTATTGGCTACTTCTGGTGTATTCCCAAAATACACAGCAGTCTCTTACTCAATTGACATGCCTAAAAACAGCAGTTGCCGCTTTACATTTGTCAGCATACCAGCAAAACCTCCTTCCGTCAACGTGTTTAATACAGTTTGGTTAAAAGTTATACGCTTACCTGAAGCAGCCATCTTGAATTCTCTCAATCTGAAGTCGGATCTGTCAAGAACTTCGGGGAAAGCGGAAAACCTCTGAAATGCTCCGTCTTCATTGGTTGACTCTCGGAGCTGGGAAAAGCACGCCACACAGGGTAATGCCCAGTGGGTGGCGGCAATTCACTGTCATGTTAGTGCAGCCATTAAATTAAAAAAACAAAAACAAAAAAAAAAACAACACAGTAACTCCTGATGCAATACTCAGTATTCTCAGTAGACGTTATGATTACAACAGTTAATATGGTGAATAATCTTAATGACAAATAGGCTAATGACATTATTTTGCTTTACAAAATAAGATTAGATATGCCCTTATTGTATTATTATTATTATTGTTATTATTATTATTATTATTATTATTATTATTATTGTTATTGTCGAACATTTGTAGAACATAAAAGAACATAGCCTATTTGTAGCCTACTTGACTATTTCTATTTTATTTACTTGGGCTAATACTACTAGTCCACAACATTTCAGAGGCAAATAGTAGTTTTTAATCCACTCCATATATCCAAAATACTTATTTTGTAGATTCAGATTAATAGCATAATAAAACATAGTCAAGAGTGTGTGCAGGAACGCTATCGCAGGTCCTTCCTGTCTGCTGTCAGGCTATATAGCCAGCACTGCTCACAATGAACTGCACCATGGACACTTTAGGGACACTATGGACACCTTATAAACACTACTATAAGCATTGCTGCCCCCCTTGTTGTTGTTTTGCACATACAATATTCACTTTGCACTAAATATGCTCACTTTAATCCATTGCTCACTTTTTATCCACTGCTCATTATTGTTATTATTATTACTTATTGCTGTTTCTTGTATTTTTTGTACTTTTTTTGCATGCCAATTTTTTTTTAAGTTTTTAAATATTGAAAGCTTTAATCTAACTCTTTCCACTTGACTGCTGTAACACTGGCATTTCTCAATTGTGGGATCAATAAAATGTATCTTATCTTATTTTAAATGACTGATGGTGTAGTATTAGAGATTAATATAAAACTTTATTGATCCCAAGGAGGAAAATTCATAAAGCCTATCAGGTAAAGGAGTTAAAATTACCCCCAATCTTTACAAGCCTCAACATTAATTAACTTGTATAATGTTAGTATTCTCTTTTGTGTTTTGTTCTATTTTTATTCATTTATTTTTTTATGGACTACTTTTTTTTATCTATTGCTGTTGTTGTGCTGGAACAATTAGGCCTACCTGTAAAGGTATGTATCTTCCCAAAAAGTTAAAGAAACTCTTTAAACGCAATTCATACAAATTATCCACCAGCAGTGTTTATCAAGAAAAGGTTTAAATTCGAGGTCGAGCCCTGTGCCTCCTGTGGTGAGACTTAAGAAACTTTAGAACACGTTTTGGTTTTTTTCCTGTTTTTTTGTTGTTTTTTTGCCCTGTGTCTGTCTATTGTTTCCAGTGTTGGGTAAGGGTTACTTTAAAAGTGATCAAAGTACGTTACTGCGTTACTTTTTAAAAAAGTAACCAGTTACTTTACTGCGTTACTCCCTAAGTAAAGTAACTCAATTATTTTAAAAGTACTTCCAATGTTACTCCCTGAGAAAAGTAACTCAAGCACTTTTAATTTTGAGTATTCTACATTTCCTATTGGGCAATGGACCACAGGGCGCTAAGCCTACATTTTTTTGTCTCCAAAATTAAAGTATGGACCACTTGCCCTTCACTGAGATCCAATTCTCCCATCACAGCCGTCACTTTGACCAGTAGAAACACAGAACGATCTGCTGCCGTAGACAACTGTATGACAACAACGCCCCAGCATTTTTAATATTTCCTCTAGGGATGTACTCCACCTATTTAGACTCCACCGTAGACAACGGCAGCATTTCTCCGACCACGTAGCGAGCCACAAGCTCGGTGGCTTCTTTCAGACTGATAGGTTTAAGGTTATCTCCGTTATTAGAACCAAACGACAGCCGTTGCTGTTTCGGAGCTGAAGGACCAGCGTTCTAAAAGTAACGGAAGTAAATGATGTCTAGTTTGAAAATGTACTTAAGTATTTGATTACTCAAACAGCAAACTAACGCGTTAGGTTACTCGTTACTGCAAAAACTAATCAAAGTACTCTAACGCGTTACTTTGTAAGGCGTTATACCCAACTCTGATTGTTTCTCAGCTTTTGGTGTTTTGAATTATGATCCTTGTTTTGGATCTTGATGTTTTTGCTCCATTTTGTCAAAATGTGTATGCCTGCGGCTTTAATATATTAACTTGTATTTTTATGTAAGAAACATCCTCCACGAGATGTTGTAGGCTAACTCAAAATTGTACATGGCGACAGTACTACTACATGAAATGTAGGCTATTGGGTTATTTTCCACATTCCCCAGCGGCTCGTAGCTCTCCTACATGTTTGATACAGCCTATTTTTGACACTATTTATTTCTGATTTTATGAATGATTGTTTTGTCTGTTTTTTTTACTTGCTTATTTTGATTATTAGTTGGCACCTGCTCAGATGTAGCACTCCCAATCTCGTTGTTGTTTGTACAATGACAATAAAGACTTTTTATTCTATTCATACTTCCGTACTGTGAGCAACACACGTTGATACAGCAGGAGGCGGTATACACATATAACATGTAAAGCCGGCTTCCGTGCCGGTCGCTTTAAACTAAAGAAGAAGAGCGATATCCCAGCGTGCACCACTGCCGCTGTGTCCGACGTTACCAAACAAAACAGCTTGTATACAGTAACTGATTTTTCCGGCAGTGAGTCACACAGAGACAGCAGGTATATACTGCGTCTCCTTCTCCCTCTCCAGGATGAGCTCCATGCGGACCCTCCTGAGCTCCGGTGCGATGGTCGCTGCGCTGGGGCTCGGCTATGGGATGTTGTCCATTATATCTCCAGGAGAGGACAGGCGGAGAGAGCTCGTCAAGGTGAGTCAGCTGAGTGGCATCCAGTGTACACACAAACTAAGTGCTTACAAAACTTAGACAAAGTATCTAAAGATACTGAAGGTTGTTAGTGCAGACCCAGTTTGTGTCTCAAAAGCGACTGTCGTTTTAATTCCCTAAAAGCTCGCATGAGTTTATGGTTTGCTCCCATTAATATGGCATCTATATATATTACAGTGACATACCTAGGCTTTACGTAAACCTAGGTTATATGTTAAAAAACAATAGAAAGAAGAGAGGACGGAGGGAAAATATATCAGTAGCCTAAATAAATACGCAGAGGTGAATTAAGGTTGATTGAGACCATTCTTGAATTTCATCCCTCTGTAAACGTTCTTGCCATAAAAAAAGCCCAATTGATTCATTTCTGTAATACTGAAGGTGTAACCATTTAGGGAGGAAAGGAAGGTTTATCATATTCCAAGGAGGCATGACATAACCTTTTAATTTAAATGACCATACCTAATTTTTTTGTATCATTTGTGTGATTCGGACAGCACATCTTGGTGCAAGCATATTTATTGCACAGTTCATTTCATACTTTGACATATTTTCATATGCACATATTTTTTTCTTTGTATCATTATGAAGTAAGACTCCATGTACATTTCTGTTAAACTTCATTGCTGTAGTCTGTCCTCAACTTAAGCAATATAAAGCTGCTTTTCCCCACTGTCAAAACAACCCTCCTGTAATGCTCTCCCACCAAATTTCATTGAACACATTTAACTGATTGATTGTAAAGTGCACTATTACAGTACAATATATCTGCTGCTATTACTGACTGTTTTTGCACTATTTAACATACTTTAACATATTTAACATACTTCTGCTGCTATTTTTCCACATATACAGTATATAGTACACTACTATACATATTTAGATTTTAGTTTTTATTGATTTTATATTTTATATGTTATTTTATTGTTTCTTACTTTTAGTTTAGTAAATGTCTTTATCTGTTGTGCACTTTATTGTTACTTTAGTGTTAGGAAATGTCTTGTCTTTAACTGTTGTGCTTGTGCATTTTATCCTGTCACTGTGGGATTGAGAGAAACGTCTTCTCGATTCCTCTGTATGTCTGGTACATGTGGAGAAATTGACAATAAAGCTGACTTTGACTTTGACTTTGACTTTAGGTTTGGATAGTGTTTTAGTGTAAACTTAGTGCTTTTTGCTAGATAGCTAGTCTAGCCTGCAAAAATGTCCTGAAAAAAAACCACCAAGCAAAATCCAGCTAGTCCATAAATATTTTTATGATTGATTATTAGTCTGCACACATGAAGAGGTTGGGAAGCACTAATCTAGGTCATACAGAGCAGACACAATGGTGTTGTATTACAAGGTTGATAATTTTCTTTATTAGCAAAGCCTTTTAACACTGTCCCAGTCACTCAAAACCATGCTGTTACCCAAAGTGTGTTTGGGTGAATGGGACAAAATAAAAACAGCTTAATTCCAAAAAAAGAAACAAGTATAAGAAATATACAGAAATATACATTTTCACTCATAATGGAGCAGTAGCACATTAGGCTGAGGTAGGGGTTCTTGATGTGTTTGAAGGTCCAAAGCTTCTTAATATTTTTACATAACAACGTTTCTCAAGGCAATTGAATCCAATGCAACTGGACTTCGTTTTGTCTTAGAAGACGTTTCACTTCTTATCCAAGAGGCTTCATCAGTTCATGCTTGTCAGATTAGGCTGGAACTAGTCTGACAAACTGGTGTGGAACACCCAGGTATTTAACCTTTGAGGAGGTCTTCACAAGGCCAATGATGTCACTGATTCGTTAGTGCTCTAATGGTGTGTCAACGACGGTCTGCAACTGGACTTCGTTTTGTCTTAGAAGACGTTTCACCTCTTATCCAAGAGGCTTCATCAGTTCATGCTTGTCAGACTAGGCTGGAACTAGTCTAGCAGGTATTTAACCTCTGAGGAGGTCTTCACAAAACCGTCATTGACACACCATTGGAGCACTAACGAACCAGTGACATCATTGGCCTCGTGAAGACCTCCCCAGAGGTTAAATACCTGGGTGTTCCACACCAGCTTGTCAGACTAGTTCCAGCCTAGTCTGACAAGCATGAACTGATGAAGCCTCTTGGATAAGAGGTGAAACAAAATAAAGTCCAGTTGCATTGGATTCAATTGCCTTGAGATACGTTGTTATGTAAAAATATTAAGAAGCTTTGGACCTTCAAACACATCAAGAACCCCTACCTCAGCCTGATAACATGTTCAGGTAAAATGGGATAGTCATGTTTGAATTTTGTGAAATGGCTAAATCCATCTATCAGTTTAGTCATTAATTCATTAAATCATTTATGTTCCCTAACTAGGTTAATCATGGCTTCATTAATCAGTCATGAAGAATTTGATGTTAATTTAAAATACTGTCCATCTTTTTTGCCCTACTGTCTCTTTTCTTTTGCTTCCTGTTTTCTTGGTGCCAAATTCTCTACAATGGAGATGTCTGATGCATGTGTGTAACAATGATGGCTAATTCTTGATTATTGTAGCTGACACGGACTCACTGCATATTTTTATGTGACAAAAGTAGCCTACTATTAATATCTGTAATATGACAGGGTGGCACACAGTAGAATACGTTATGATTCTATGATATTTGGTCTTCTAAAAACATACTGGTTCCATTTCAGAAAAATGCCCAATTTTTTTGTCCCATTTTACCTGAATGCATTAACTACTCACTCAAAACCCTTTCCCATAAAAATTAAAGTGTATTATGAAAATATTTAAGTCAAACACCCATTAAAATGCTACATCCTACAACTGTTTCCGTTGTTGTATCCTTATTGTTTTAGCCACAGCACTCAAAAGAGAAAATCACACGCATTATGCCTTAACTGTTGGGTTCTGGAACCAGTGATTTTTTTTTTTGAATTTTTGCTCTGCCTAGCCTGATTATCTCAGCATCAAAATGATTCTTTCACATAAAGCACATTTGTAGCAACAATGCAATAACACGTTCGGTGATTGCCTGTTAATATTTTAAAAGGCCAAGATGTAAAACCTTATTTGTCCCATTTTACCTTATGTACAAATTACCTGATCTCACCCCATATGGCTTAGGGATTATAAGATACTTTCTATTTTTGAAAGGAAATAAGCTAAAGCAAACTAAGCCAGGAGTTAGAGACTTTGGGTTGGTGGATATGAAATGTTTCCATCAAAATATAAAAAAATGACAATGTACCAATGTAGGTCTACAGAAAAATTGCTATTTTCATGGTGATGTCTTGAATAGGATGTCCTGTACACTCGAAGAACAAAATTAAAACATACCAAATCAAAATAAAAAAAGACAGAAAAATGATGGATTAGCTTGAAATAAAATAGTTGAACAACTGCAAAAAGGTTTGAACAAACTGTTACCTACCTTTACAAGAGGCATTAGGTTGTTCAGTTTCACAAAATACCTCTGCCTCCACACTAGCTTAAAAAATGAGCGTGCCACAGTCTGTTAACAGCAGTAGTGCTGGCCTCAAATTATTTCCAATTATTTCTGCGGGATTGTGTGGCCATCATCTCCCCCAGCCACACCCTGGGAGCACCACTGATGGAGTCTCCTTGCCATGAAGCCTCTTTTACTTGTTTGAGTAAATGCCACAATTTGTCTCTGGCAGATTTATCTTTGGGACAAAAAGCTTCAATGAGGTCTAATGTGTTTAAATAGAGAGCCTTGGACTTTCTTTCCCTTCAAATCAAATCATGGCACATGGAAATAAGCACAATATGGAATGATGTGAGCCATCTCTTCTCCCCGGTCACAGTCAATGGATGACGATACCATTTCTCATTTGGTATGGATTTATGGACCCACCTCTCTTGATGATGAAGATGTCGGTTACCACCTGTTGGATGTCCTCACAGTTCTCAGGTTGTGTAACTTGAGTGACTGTATCTGTTGAAGGTCGGCGACACTTGTCTTCAGGTTTTTTTTCTCAGCTCTTCTCCTCTCAACTGTCTAATCCAGATGAGGCACCTTGGTTTTTCTGGTCACTGACATCAATAATGAGCTGGTTGACTATAGGTGAAGGGGAGAACATTGCTTCAGAGGTGGAAAATGTCACTTTTTTTTCAATGGCAGCAGGGTTGGAAATGACTTTTCTGGTCCACCTGCAGAACATCTGTGCATCACTGAATGTTAACTGTAGTTTGATTGTACATGTGGAGAGGCTGTGGGCTGTTACGTCACATTGTTATCTCTCGAATGCTCAAGAAAAACTTCCCCTGAAGGAGACAATAAAAGCTAATCTAATCTCTGAATCTGAATCCGCTTTGATGGCCAAGTAAGCGTGTACACTGTACACTGTAGGCTACATAGAATTTGACTGCGGTTTCTGTTGCTCTCAGCATACAGACATAGACATACAGTTAAAACAAATGTACAATTATTAGTGTCGATAGTTGCTTTATATACATGAGGCAGGTGGATATAACAATATGTGTATACAGTGATGCTTATATATTGATAGTGATGATATTGAAAAAAATAAAGAACAGCTAGTATTTAATATAATTGTTAAGTGGATGCTTGGTGTTACAGGGCTATTGTAGAGGGATTGTTCCTGTCACTATGGACTTAAGAGTTCATCAGAGTGATGGCCTGTGGAAAAAAACTGTTCTTGTGTCTGGTTGTTTGACATTGTGTCTCTGGGTTCAGACGATCAAGGTCACTATCTCAAGAATGGCTTGAGGGAATTTCCTCAAATTTTCTGAGCATCCATTTGGATTCAACAATGAACCAAATATATTTTGGTGATCAAAGGTCAAGGTCACTATAAACTTGCGTCCATCTCATTCTTGTGAATGCAATATCTTAATCCCTCAAATATGGCACAAACATCCACTTGGGCTTAAGGATGAACTGATTAGAGTTTTTTGGTCAAAGGCCACTGTGACCTTACACCACATGTTTTTGGAAATAATTCAAGAATTCATATGTTAGATGTGACAAAAATTCACACAAATGTCTAAAAGGATACAGTGATGAAGTGATGACATTTTATATCCAAAAAGTCAAAGGGGGCCTGTCCTGAAGTCCACTGTCATCTCCACAGGTTTTACAGTGTTCAGCTCCGGGTTGCTTTGACCAAGGGCCAGCTCTTCAACCTCCCACCTGTATGCAGACCAATCACCGCCGCAGATGAGGCTGATGACTGTTGTTTAACAGATGGGTCTCCTTTGTGTTTGTGTGGAGGGTGAAGAACAGTGGGGGAAAACACACCTCCCTGGGGGGCACCAGTGCTGGACGTGATTTTTCCCAATCTCACCTGTTGCCTCTGGTCTGTCAGGAAATTTGTGATCATCTGACAGTTGGACAATGGCACAGTGAGCTGGATGAGTTTGGTCTGAAGGATGTCTGAGATGATGGTGTTGAACACTGAACTCTAAGTCCACAAACAGGATCCTTGGATAAGTCCCTGGGGAGCTTAAGTGTTGCAGGATGTAGTGCAATCCCATGTTGACTGCATCATCCATTCACTAACCTGTTGGCCTGGTAGGCAAATTGCAGGGGGTCCTGTGATGTCCTTCAGATGGTACAACACCAGTCTCTCGAAGGATTTCATGACCACAGACACCAGGGTGATGGTTCTGTAGTCAGTTAATCTAAAGGCTATTTTTACAACTGAAATAAAAAAAGTGAAATATTTATGCAAATAAGTTATATAATTTGCTTTAGAGACCATGCAATTAACACATAAAAAGTTATTAGGTTAATTTTTATTTATGTGGTGAAATATAGTAATTCATTCTATGTATCTGTCTCTTGCTTTACTGCCTATCAGAATCTGCCTGAAGCAAACCCAATGAGGATGGAAGAGACAAGGAAGAGGAATGCTCTGGTGATGCAGGCGATCAAGGAGGCTGCTGAGACTAACGACAACATTGCAAAAGGCTACGGAGGACCTTCAAAATAGACAGGATAGGCTCTGGGACCTGTGAGCAAAGTCCTTGTGCATTGAATGCTGCTGGCATGCAGGAAGGACCTGTTCAAATGAACACAATGAACCACTGGATGTTAACATTGTATATTAAATCTCTTCAACACAACCACATCTTTTTAGTCTTATTCTAAACTCAGTGATGACCAGGCTTGGTTAGGATCAGGTTCTTTATATGTTCACACAGGTAGGTATAAAAGAAAATAGTTGATGTTTAATATTTTTCTATCAACAAATTCCATGAAAGACCAAAGCCAACAGTGAATGTATCTGCTTACAAATATTTTGTGTGTATAAGAGCCTGATTTATCTTCTTCCTCTGTGCCACTGAGGTCCACTGTTGTCCGAAAACAATTGAAAACACAAGTGAGCCACACTGTTGCACTGGATGTTGTGACTGACACTGAGAAACTATGTCATCAGATAAAGAGTCTCTGAGTTGTTTGGGGCCAATAACAATAATTTCAGTTTTGTCTGAATTTAACATCAGGAAATTGGTGCTCATCCAGGTTTTTATGTCTTTAAGGCAGTTATGGAGTTTAGTTAATTGATGAGTTTCTTCTGGCTTCATCAATAAATACAACTGTGTATCATCTGCATAACAATGGAAATTTATAGAGTGATTTCTAATGATGTTGCCTAAAGGAAGCATATATAGAATAAACAGGATTGGTCCGAGCACAGAACCTTGTGGAACTCCAAAACAAACTTTAGTACGTAAGGATGATTCATTATGAACGTCAACAAACTGAAAACGATCAGATAAATAAGATTTAAACCAGTTTAGTGCAGAACCTTTTAGGCCAATTAAGTGATCCAGTCTCTGAAGAAGAATTTGATGGTCAATTGTGTCAAACGCCGAACTAAGATCTAATAAAACAAGTACAGAGACAAGTCCTTTGTCTGAAGCAATCAGAAGGTCATTTGTAATTTTAACTAGTGCTGTCTCAGTGCTATGATGCACTCTAAATCCTGACTGAAATTCCTCAAATAAATTATTATCATGGAGAAAATCACACAGATGGTCTGCGACTACTTTCTCAAGGATCTTTGACATAAAGGGAAGATTAGATATTGGTCTATAGTTGGCTAACACCTCTGGATCCAGGGTGGGCTTTTTTAGAAGAGGTTTAATTACAGCTACCTTAAAAGACTGTGGTACATAGCCTGTTAATAAGGATATATTGATCATATCTAATATATGAGTGTTAACTAAAGGTAAGACCTCCTTAAGTAGCCTAGTTGGGATGGGGTCTAAGAGACACGTTGATGATTTAGATGAAGAAATCACTGCGGTCAATTCTTGAAGAGAAATTTGGGAGAAACAACCTAAACATATTAGGTCTTACAATACATTTTTAGGATATTACAATGATGATAATCCCATTGCTTTTTATCTAATACTTGTAGGATTTGCTTATAGAGGCAGTGCACAGTGTGGTCACACCTGCCTGTGACCAGGTTGTTATGCAGTAAAACAGATGGCGAAAAATTATAGTGTGTACAGACAACTGACGGAGACAACTAGCACCTAATGCTCTTAAGATTATTCAGATCAAACTGAACATTGCTGATGACCTTACTAACTTGCTTTTTGAAAGACAAGTTTATGTCAATTATAATACCTGGAGGTGTTAGCTAAACATAGCCACGTGCATTTGATGTTGAAGGTAAAAAACACTGATTTACGGTGTTGCACTCACGTAGTGTGTTTATTTTTAAAGAGGTTGCATGCACATTGTACATTTCCTGTGAAAACGGAAGTGTAATTTGAAAACCGACAATGCATGTAACAGGCTGAAGTTGACACGGTGTTCCAGAACAGCCAACGCACCCAGGTTACCTTGCATGTCATATTTTGATGTGGAAATTCCATGACCAAACTTTTAATGAGGTTGGAGTGAGAATGTGTTGGGCAGTGTTGCTAAAATCACTTACAAAGCGATGGTATTTGACAACTTCAGAATGAGAATGGGCAGAGGCCTGTACTGTGAAGCAGGGTTTGAAGTTAGCGAGGTAACTTCGGGGTTAACTCCGGGTTTTCAGTACTACGAAGCTGGTTCTCTTTTTACTGGGATAAATTACCGTGGCAACTTGTGCTGAACAGCTAACCTGATTCAGAGCAGATCAGTGTCAGGGTATCAGATCACAGCCTGTCAACGCCCCAACCTCTGACCAATCAGATCTCAAAAGAAAAAAGTATAGATGAACGAAAGTCCAGAGTGACAGGTAAAAAAAGAGCCTATATGCTGTTATAGGTCCTGTTATAGGTCAGTAGAATCATTTAATTGTTCCAGGGCTCTGTTCACACTGATTTTAAAACAGAGCCTCTAACTAACAGAGAGATCATTTACAACACTAAACGCATGATTTTAGCACTATTTGAAATTACGCAAAGTTTATTTTAGTCCGCAGTGAGAGTGCTGCTACTCTTACACTATGATTCCGCCACTGCAGCTCAAAATAACATGAGACACTTACTTGATGAAAATTAGGATAAAACAAATATTTTATTAGTACAATAATCCACACACTCTTAACTGGCTCCTGTTATTATAAATGCCACGTTTCGGTCAGATAGACCTCATTCGTCATTAACTACTTTTCAACTCTTTACTTCAGTAGCAGAAACAGTCTGGTGTTACTTTAAAGTGTAATACAGTAGTATCACCATCGTCCAACTAAAAAGCAAAAAAATACTCTATACTAATGACACATAGGCCTATAGCTCAGTGATACCTACATTTAATTTGAGTCTCGGATAACAGGGAATTTTTGGATAGTGTTTTCAATGATTCTAGAATGTTGTTGACATCCCACGCCACCGTCATTTTACTGTCTCGAATTGGCAGGTATTTTCGGAACCGTTAATCTCATATCTTATAAAGCAGTCTACTTCATTCATGGTTCTAATGATGTCCCTTGTAATTAACACCCCTCGCCTCTTTCAGGTGAATGAGCTCATGGCTGGATAGGAAAACCCAGAGCTGACTGAACTGGCTGATAACCAGCTTTGTAGTACCAGTTATCCACACAACCAATGTAAGGGTTAGTCAAACCAGATGACAAGAAGATATCCTGGGTAAGTTGAACTGGCTTCATAGTACAGGCCTCTGGTGTGTAAAATTGGTTTACACTGTCAGAAATTCTGTCAAGAATTTAAGAAACTTTGAATGATAAAAATGCATCTGGAAATCATTGTCAGTGTGTGTTTGTCAGAAGCCTTGTTTAAATCTTAGAGTGGGCACATGAATACATTCTGTGACTGAAATAATCATCATTGAGAACAAAGTGATTCTACTTTTATTAGTTAAGCTCAAAGATAGCTGGCCACCCCACTAGTCTCACTTTGTGATTAGGCGCCAAGCCAACATGTACTCTGTAACAACCTGCAATATAGCAAATGATACAGATGAGGTCTGCTGACTCTTTCCTGCCAGCAGGTGTACAACTGGACCCCAGACTTAAGCTTTTATATGCTGTTGGTTTCAGGTGGTAGCAAGAGGAGGTTGAAAAACTTAACACAGAAACAGAAGAGAACGTGAAGTGAGCAGAGGAGACACAAAGACCAAAGAGAGAGAGGATGGAAAAAGAGGAAGAAGAAGACTAATAATTGTTCTGAGGATCGTGGCAACTCAACCCCCCCTAATTTCTTAAAGAAAATGTGATCAGGCATTGCCTATCTTTAGGATAGGCACAGTTCAGAGGGCCTGTAAAAGAAAAGGAACAAATTAAGAAAAAAGTAAACAAAACCCTGTTTTCATCAGGCAAGATACTTCAGTTTCTTCTGAGTCTATGTCTAGCAAACAAATACTTAAACATGGCCCTGTGTATTAACTGAGAACCACCTGTGACAGTGACAGACTGACAGAGAGAGAAGTGCGGGTCATACCCTCGCCCGAACTATGAGTCTTTACTGCCCTCCAGTGGCAACAGGGGGAACTGCAGCACACCATCTGTCAAACTCGTCAAAGGTTTAGTCATTGCCCTATAAATACTTTATTAATAATAATATCAGAGAGGATTCCTTTAGAATCATACACAGGTTTTCCCCTGCAAAATTTCCTGAATAAAATTAAGGATGCTATAGATCTTCTTTTTGCTAAACTCTTCCAGAAACTGTGCCTAGTCTTTTCTGGCATTGTCAGTACTCTGGAAAAATATAGAAATATGTTTCCAAATTTATGACTAATTTTTGTGTACAAAGACTTTGCTTTATTTTATGAGCATGTTATATTCAGATTCTTTGCCTGTGACAGGAAATTTGAGGAAAAGGCATATAACAAAAATCTATTGATTGATCTTACCAAAGTTTACATCTGTGTGAGTTTGCAAACCAAAGATTTTGAAATTTATATAAATACTATTAAATCATGCTCTAATAAAAAGGCCATGACTTCCGTGATTACCTTCAAAATAAAAACAGAGGCAATCATGAACCAACTAAGCAGTGATAATAGTCAAGTTAAACGGCCATTGATTGATGATGTATGACCTTGAGTGTTTCTTGTGCTAACTGCTGTTTATTTAATTTCATTTTATTTTAGTTTATTTATAGTATTCTTCTGTACATTAGTTGATTGCTGCATGCATTATAATGTAAAGCACAATCTGAGTTTGGATTTTCTATATAGAATAAAGTTGGATATTCTTGCAGACAAAATTGAATAACTTAATAGACTTGCAGGTGTTCATCCACTGTGCACAACAATGGTTACAAACTCACCAGGAGCACTCAGACGAGTCAGATCAGCATAAAGCTTTCTGGTCCGCCCATTATGACCTTGCACATGTATGCCTCCTCAAACCCGTCATGTTGCAATTTGAGTTTACATCCATGTCTGTGAAAACATGGATGCTTCACACACATCATCCCCCCAACAGCACAGAAGATCTATACAATCAGCACAGTTTCAGGATTAATGTCTCCCCTTCTGTTCTTGAGATATGATGTTGAGTAATGGCCAGGAAAGTGTTTTTACATAACATTATGATGTCACAGTGAAGTTGACCTTTGACCTTGTGGATATAAAATGTCATCAAGTCGTCATTTTATCCTATTAGACATTTGTGTGAAGTTTTGTCAGATAGGAACATATGAATTCCTGGGTTGTGGCCAAAACATGTTTTGTGAGGTCACACTGACCTTGACCTTTGACAAATAAATTTTAATCAGTTCATCTTTGAGTCCAAGGGAACATTTCTGCCAAATTCAAAGAAAATCTCTTAAAGTGTTCTAAAGATATGGCATTCATGAAAATGAGACAGATGAGGTCACAACAACCTTGACCTTTGACCTATGACCACCAAAATCTAAACAGTTCATCTTTGAGTATGATGGAATGTTTGTGCCACATTTGAAGAAATTCCCTCAAAGCATTCTCATTCATGAGAATGGGACAGATGGATGGACATCTTAGTGTACCTGAAATGCAAATCCAGTATTCATATTCACAAAAAAAACTGGAACCACAAACATCTGTTTAAATGATTTTTTTTATAAAAGATAAATGTTTACAAATGTTTTTAATTTATTTATAAATGAATTAAACATATTTACAGATATTTTTTTTAATTTGTGGAATCGGCTTGTGTATTTGCATATCTCTCTTTATATTTGCACAACAGAAGCTGAACAATATACAGCTGTAGACAGGGTCAGTAACAAAACGTATCTTAGACACCTAAAAAACAGTCCCACTTAAATAAAAACAGAATCAGCTAAGTGTACACTATATTTAGAATATTTTCACTGCTTTACTCTAATATCAGACAGCGATTTCCAACGGGAAAAATAAGCTGTTGTGTTGCTCTCTTCAAAGCAAGACTCTATTGAGAAAAACAGTGATTTAACATGGCTGAACACAGGAGCTGCCAGTCTAACTGCCTCAATCAGTTATTATGTTAATGTTATTATGTGACTTTGGATTAGTTGGGATTCACCAAAGTTTCAAGACTTCCAGTTTAGTTGTTTTCACTGATTCATACAGGTCCTGCGAAACTATTCTTCCTAGTTTATACCTTTATAAGACACATGACTGGTCACCAACAAAGCCCTTGAGTGTCTATTCTGCGGCTACCAGCCAATCAGAGGGAGAGTAGGGCGGCTGGGGGCGGGTCATACCGTTGACATCTTTAGGAGGAAAAAAATAAATAAAAAATTGGCGCACCGGGAAGTCAGTCAGCTTTCCGGTTCCTGTCAAGAGATCCGCTCCGCAACACCACATCATGTAAGCATTAACAGTCTGAAAGGAACACGTTAAAACGTGTTTTTGCGAACTTGTTTATTTTAATAGAAGAACAGTCGGTGTTATTACATTGCACCGACTAAAGGAAGTTAATTTCATCTCCATAACGACACTGCATACATGTGCAGCGGAGCTTCAGCTTTGCTAACGTTAGCTACCGTGGCTAAACTGGCCAGATAACGTTTAGCTTGCTAGCAGTTTCCATTCCTGTGTACAAGCAGTCTAATCAGAGTGAAACCGCTCGACCCAACGCGTCCTCATCCTGTGTCAGTGCAGTAGCTAGATGAGATGTTATTGCAAGTTGAACGTAGCAAGAATATCAGCAGAATTCAGTTTGAAGCGTTGAAACGCATCATTACATGAACCTAAATAAGCTGCGCAGCCCATGGTACCCTACAGGCCCTTCAGCAACACTTATCCTCAGACTCCTCTGACCATCTGGATGACAAAAATATTTAACCCTCTTATTTTCTTGTAAAAATTGAATCCATAAAACCAACAAAAATTAATAAATACTTTGTTAAGCCCGTTGGTGATGAAGTCACGTGTTGTTCCCACAGAATGTCCTTATTTTAAATAACCAGTTCCTGTTATACAAATTTCATTTCATTCAGTTTTATTATATTTTTTGGTATATAGATACTCATTTATATGTATTCTAACATAATAATCAAATGTTTATGTGAAACCCATGTCCAGCTCTGTTGTCCTGGTTGTAGCTGTCTGTAAATAAATAAATAAATAAATAGCAGTCACATTCCTTGCATACATGTGCACATGCTTGTATTACATAGCTGATAATGTTTCTGTAATTTCCAGTTGCTAAAATGCTGGCTGTAATCATTTCTGCTTTCCATGCTGGCTGTAAATGGATGCAGATGGATAAGGATCAGCTCTGTAAAATGGAAACTCTGCCATAAATTCTGTACAGTACATACAGACAGAAAAATGTCATCAGCTTTTAGGATCTGATTTAAAAGAGCCTTCAGTCCAGAATAAGCCGCTCCATGCATATGTCTCTGGAAACAGTGTTTTTATGTTTATGTTATGTTATGAAGTAGAGTTTTGATATTTGATCCTTGTATTGACAGAATGCCAAAATCAAAGGAAGTCCTGTCCTCCACATCTGGAAGTGACTCCGACAGTGAAGTAGAGACTAAGGTTTGTGTTTTAATTCTTAAGTTTGATTACTTTATCCGTGTACTTTTATACGTCTTAGCTTTAGAAATGAGGCACTGAAAGCAGATCTCACTCTGAATTAGACAATGTTCGGTTTGGGGATGTACATGACTCAGAATTGTACCTACCTACAGAAATGTAGCTTTTTGTCCATATAGAGTTTGAAAGTCTGAATGGGGTTGAGTGTTACATTCAGTGTGACAGTAACTAGGGATGGGCAGTATGGCCCTAAAACAATATCAAGATATTTCAATTTTCTTAGTGATATGACAAATTAGTACAAAAAGTTATACAGTTTTACAAAAGTTTTTATTAATTTAAGAACATAGAATTGCTACAAAACAAGTGATATAGTTTCACATGTTTGCCTTCAAATATTCAGTGAAAACTAAACAAAAATGATCTCTCATTTCCTACGTTTGTGAACAACAATGGTAACTCAGAGTGAGAGTCAGATTCTGTATACAATAACAAAATAAAATCTACAAAAAATTACACATTTAAACAGCTCCCAAATACAAAAAAAAGTACAGCAGGATCTTAATATATAAATTAACGGGTGATTTCCTTCTCTTTAAGCAAAATCCTAAATGATTGATTTGTTTTTTTTCCTCCACCTGGACCTTTATGCTCTGCCATTTCTCCTGTAATCATCACGCTGTAACCTGTGACAGGCTGTTATGATACAATAACTATTGCACATTCACATATATGTAGTTTTTTATTGAGCCTGAGCTGCACGTAGGTTTACATTACCATGGTTTATGACCAAATCAGGTGATGACACGACTCCTGTGTGCACATGGCCTGAAAGGAGAGGAAGAGATGCTGTACTGCTGGCTGTGGAGTCACTGAATGAATTCCTTCTGCAGGGAGGGTAACTTGTGGTAACTCGCAAAAGGAGTCGTAAGAAGTCTGGGGCTGTTCATAAAACATTCAGGACACCCAGGCCTGACGATACCACAGTTTATTCCACACAAATGAAGCTGCTTCTCTTTTTGGAACTGCCGTGAAGTCGCTACCAATTTCACTTTCAGCCATGCTTGTTGTTGTTGTGGGTAACAGTATGACATTAATATGTCAACAAGTCGAAATGTCACCAGTTTCACAATATGAATTTTTCATATGATATAAAAAATGATAATGGTATTATTGTGAATGAGATGAAATGGCACACTTACATGAGCATCATGTAATACAGTAAACAAGCTAACCACAGTAATGGCAGATTGGAACAACATTCTTTTCCAGCACTGGATATCAAACAAAAGTCGGAGACTGTGTCAAATTAATTTGCTGTAAGCTGTAAATGCCTGACCAGGCAAAGCCTCCTCTCCCCCAGGCAGCTGCCTCTGTGTCCACAGCTGCCTGTACCAAAGAGTGGCTAAAAGGGAGGAGCACCCTCTGCAGGTAAATTTGGGGACTGAAAAATCCCCAGAAGTAGCACTGCACACTGACTGCCAAAAAAAACAAACAACAGCACAACTTGAAGGAATCTCAGTTGACTGAGGGGTCTCTGACTTTGCGTGCCTCAGGGATAGATGGCATGACACTCTGCTGGTTGAATCACCAGTACCAAAGATGAGCAACTGCTTTAGAAAATATCTGGTTCTTTGATTAAAAAAGTCAAAGGTACAGGCCTGTAGGCATGAACACCGAAGAAGAGAAGGATGAGGAGGCATGGGTACAGCTATGAATTTACTGATACTGTCTTTTCCATAGTACATTTAGGCATAAGTGCTCTCTTTTACTGCTTTGCTTATTTATTACATTTTCCCTTATCTGCTGATGCTAACCTTTGCTTTACTATTCTTCACTGTTCCACTTAATCTATACTAGGTAACCCTGTGCAGTTAGGATTCCAGGTAAGGACAGGATGGTAGGGGGTGCTATATTTTAAAAATAATTTGTTAATTCTTTTAGGCAAAGAGAAAGAAGTCAAGTGCACCAGAGAAACCAGCCAAGAAGCCAAAGAGCGGAGAGAGTTCCAAGCCAAGTGGCTCATCCAAGGGCAGCAGTAACAGTGATGACAACATGTTCCAGGTGGGTATCACATGTGTACTGTAGTTAAAGCTGTTTAGACTGCAAAAATTTAAACTCTCTAAAAACTGCATTTGGTTTCAAGCCATAGCATCTATTGTGTGCTTTTAACAACAAGTGTACACGTGAGGTCAGGTGCTTGGTGCTACTGTTGTGCCTATTCTGTGCCAACTTTCAAGGGGGTGTGGAGGCAGGTTGTGTGTGAGGTTGCTAAGCAACCATAACCAGCACCGCATCAAAGCCTACTTACCAGAAATCCTGAGTGCAGAGCTGATCTTCTTCCAGGCACTGTGTTGTAAGTGTGTATTAGGCCAAAAAATATTATCTGCGATACAGATGTAAAGCTCTGGTAGCTCTGCACTAAAATGATCAACTTCTCCTTTGTATTTATCACAGACTGATATTTATGGAAGAAGGGGATATCTGCCGACCGTGATTGGTTATTCTTTGTCACATGACATGCGGTGTGCTCTGTTGTGTTCCAAAGGTTGAATTCTGTTCATCTCATGGTGCTGCCATTGTGCCCTGAAAAACAGGCACTTGGGAACACATGCTCACCACAATGGTGTCACTTTGGCATTTGAGCGTGCCCGCTATATTGCTACATTGAAAACAATGAATTCGTTTGAATCTGTGCAGCCCCTAAAATAACAATTTTGCTGATGGCCAGTAGTGATGCTGATGTTTTTTGTTGTTTTTTCTTTTGTTTTTGTTATTTATTCTCACTTTTCTGCCAGGAAAACAAAAATCTTCATTATAAAAAATAACACTGGAACAACATCATGACACTGCCTTTGAATAAGCATAAATTCAATCATACAGATTTATGAAACAGCCTTTAAAGGTTAAACTTCTCCCATGTGCCAAGTGTGTAGGAGAGCCACGGTAGCCGACATGAAAATGCAAATGGCACCATTAAGAGCCACTGTTTGGTTTGTCTGTGCTGAGCCATTGTACAAACAACATGGCGGACTCAGTGGGAGAAGACCAGTCCCTGAGGAAGTGCGCCGGGCTTTGAAGCCAGTATTTGAAGTGGTACTGCATGACCCTCATGCCATTGGACCCCAAAAAGACTTTTTTTCCATACACTTCACAGACGTCTGTAAATCAGTGGGCACATTTCTTTGAACATCATAAACCCAGCAAAATAACTCGTTTCACTGTCAGGATTTAAAGTCAAGGATAGTCCACACACTTGATGATCCCAGTTCACATGCATTTATTTAGCACATCCCAAAAATACTGTGTGTGACATTTCGAGCCAAACGCTCTTCTTCAGACATGAGACATACATCTAGCACGCCATTTTTAAAGGGACGCCAGTGGGGTCACATGATGGGTCACATGATCAAGGATAACTGAAAAACAGTGAAAAATATTCACAGTGACAATGAATAATACATATACAAAAATACATATATGAAAATATATACAACAATCTCTATACCAGACCAAGAAAGATCCATTTAATTGGATGTGCGCGGCTGCTCTGTTTTTTGACTATCAGGATTTAATCCATTTGGTCTGATAACATTTATAAAGTCTAGAAGAGCTGCACAATTTAATCAATTTTATCCCCATTCAAGTTAGTGGAGCACTAAAACTGAAATTGCTGGCTCGGCCAGCAGAAGTCTATAGTGCGCCTGCTCAATGGGTCGGAAGTAGCGCTGGTCATTGGGGTAATTTCATACCATGGAAAAAAAGCTTTTTTGGCTTCTTGGACCACTGAACAAGTTTCATAGGAATGAAATGTCTTTAAATGCTGTATCCAGGTCTCTTAATATGTCCATGTAGAGGACCTGCTCTGTATGTCAATACAAATGGCTCATTTTACGGTAATGAAAAAAAACCGGTTCTTATTTTCAGGTAATTATATACTAATGAAAGCATAGTTATGAATATAATATTCTATTTCTGTTGCTAGATGTCCCTAAATTCTACACATTGGACCGTTTTAATATAACCTTCTTTTACAATAAAATCATGTTCATTTCTTTTATTTGAAAAGCCTCTTTTATTATATATTTATATATTACAATTTCCCTCTCTAATATATTGATGCATGACATTTATATTGCTTTGAAAAGAAACAACAAATTCCTCCTTCAAACAACTGTATATATAGCCATTGTAGCTGCTAACAGCTAACATCACCTAGCTCTGCCACTGATTCCAACACAGATTTGCTGTTCACAGTGTAGTAGAATGTGCTTTGCCATGTCTGCTAATCACCCTGATGGGTTGATAGTAAGTTTGCAGCATCCTTTCTTTTGAAGGCATCCTGGGGAGGATCTACATTAGTCTCAACACATTTTCTGTTGTTCCCAGGATGACTTTATTTCCAGTCCTGCTTTTTAGCCTGCACTAAATTGATGTGACACAACAGAAAACAACAGCCTTTGTCATCAGTAAATGTCATTTTAATTGCTGATAGGCCAATGTCATTCAACAGGGCAAATATTGGTTGATACTCATGTTATGCCAATAAATCAGTGCATCCATAGTTGCAAATAATGTATTAGGTTAATACTTTCTATATTCTACCTCCATTTTTTTGTGTGTGGATGGAGGGTTTGTGAAGTACTCAATAGACAGTAATGTTAAGGCTGTGAAATGTCTTTCTTCCAAAAATGTAATGTGCAGAAAAGTTAAGTTGACAGTTTGCTTTTTACAGATTGGAAAGATGAGGTACGTCAGCGTCAGGGACTTCAAGGGTAAAGTCCTGATTGACATCAGAGAATACTGGATGAACCAAGATGGGGAGATGAAGCCAGGGAAAAAGGGTAATCACATCTGTAAACCCTGTATATGCTATGGATATGTTTTATATGTTTCAGTGTTACATATATACAGTACATATTTATCTGAAAAAATTACAGTAGGACCTGAAGATAGGTGTTTGGTGTTTTTACTAGTTTGCAGTTGTGTGAAACACAGTGTGAACGTATACTTTCCATCTCCTGTAGGTATCTCCCTGAATCCTGAACAATGGAACCAGCTGAAGGACCAGATTTCAGAAATTGATGACGCCATTAAAAGAATATAAGCATCCCTTTCAATGTTATCTGTTGAACTAATTTAAAGTGTTGGCTAATCAGTTTTGTAAAAAACCTGGGATTGTTTTCTAATGGACTTTGTTTAGTTTGTAGTTGTATAGATTTAGTGTCGTCTGCATACTCTGGTTTTCTGTGTGAAACTTGTTTTTGAGTTATTCAAGTAAAGATGTGGGTGGATGGGTAGGTGGTTGATTATTACACTTGGTGGGTAGAGTGGATCAATACAGTGATGTTTTTGTATTGAATAATAAAAAAATGAGGCACTAGCTTGATATGTTGTTCAGTGTGTAAGTTCATGTTCACAGTTTGAGTATCATGTAACTTTACATTTTAAGAGTTAGGTTTATCTGACCTTTTGTTGTATGTAGCAACCAGTACCATTATCAGTGCACTTCATCTCTGAGAGCTGGGTCCAATCTGTCTGTTGTATCTGCAGGTGATTAGAGTCATGGTGATCCATGGGTTAGGTTTTGAAAATAAATGATACTAATAAACAAACTGGGAAATTAAATTTATTGAAAGCATTATGTTAGAGTTGCATTACCTATACCCAAAGCAAGTTTGACAGAGCCAGGCTTTTTTTGTGTTAGCTGGCTAGACAAAGCCTCAAACAAGAGTCCGAGAACGGGAACTACAATGGCTTGCTTTGTTAACCTAGGTTTTCATCCTCCGGTTCTGTGTAGTGATGTGACGTGCGTGAACAAGCCGAGTCTTTGAATCAGCTCTTTGAAGTGAACGAGTGAAACGGCTCTTTACAGTGAATGAGCCGCTTCCTAATTTCTTTGTTTTTTGCTTTAATTTACTCTGTATCCATAAATTTCAGATGATTTGATCCGGAACAAGTTGAGAGAGACTAGTTTGTGAGGGAGAATGACTCGTTCACTTCACAGAGCTGGTTCAAAGACTTGGCACGTGTCGCGCACGATACAGAGAGCAGAGAATTGTAAACGCGCGACCATGTGGAGGCAGAAATGACATGCCGTCGTGTAAATACGTCATCACGTGCGCCGCATAATCGTTTGCATAATCGTGATTTCAATTTTGACCAAAATAATCGTGATTATGATTTATGAGCCCTACTGTGGGCCCGTCTTCCCACTGACAAGGCAGGCCGTGCAGTCTTTTACCATGGCTTCTATGTCCCTATCAATACCTGGCCACCACTCTTAAGTCCCTGCAGCATTCCTTCACCTTCACAATGCCCAAGTGACCTTCGTGTGCCATAGACAGGATGCCTACCCTTAGGGTGCTGGGGGACAACTGTAGGCCCTGGGCCACGCAGATATCATTCCAGCAAGACAGCTTGTCCTTAACTTGTTGGAAAGGTACCAGCTCCTCTCGAACTTCTGACAGCCACCCCTCCTGGATAAAAGTGCAGAGCTGGGAGAGCGTGGAGTCCTGTGCTGATGCAAACTGGAGGTCCTGGAGGGAGACTGTGGCCTGGAGTGGAGTTTGGAGTATATGGATGAGCTCTGGTTCAGTCCCATCTGGGCTAGGCTCTGGTGTGGGGTTGAGGGTAGCCCGAGAGAGAGCAGGTTTTCTGCCAGGAGTAAGCAAAGTGGTGAAGTTGTATTGCTGAAGCCTCTCTGACCAGTGGTAGATGCTCAGTGGTTTGTCCCCGATACAGTTGTAGCAAGCAGGGCTGTGAGGGCCTGGTGGTCAGTCCGCAGTGTAAAGTGCCATCCATACATGTACATGTGCCACCACTCACACGCCAAGACACAGGCCAGCGCCTCCCGCTCCCTCACAAAGTGCTTTTATTCAGCTGAGATGAGGGACAGAGAGGCAAATGCCACAGGGTGTTCAGAGGCATGACAGGTCAGGATTGTGGGGCTCGCCAGGTCAAAATGTGTGACCACAGGTGGCAAGGTGAGCTGAGCCTTTAGTTGGCGGACAGCGGCAAAGCAGGCAGGAGTCCATGACCATGTTGCGTCCTTCTTTAGGAGCTCTCACATTGGGTCTGTGGTTTCTGAGTATTGGGGAAGGAAATGCAGGTAGTAGGCTCTCATCCCCAGAAACGATGTCAGTTGAGCTGGGCAGGATGGCTCAGGAAGATGCTACATGGCCTCCACATTAGCGTGAAGTTGGCTAATGCCATCTGTGCACAGGCGAAGCCCCACAAACTTTAGTGTGAGGTTAAGGCTGGCGAGGACATCGAGGACCATAGTCAGGTGCTCATTGTGGAGGGCCAGTGTTGCTCCATGTACCACTATGTCATCCAGGTAGATGACCACTCCTGGGATGCCAGCAAAGATGGAGGTCATGATTTTTTTCAGAAGCAGCTGGGGGCGGAGCTGAGGCCAAAAGGCATGAAGGTGTCACGAAAAACCCTGACATGGGACACGAAAGCTGTAAGGTTGCGGCTACCAGGGTGCAGTGGTAGTGGTAGCCCTGGCAGAGTTCGAATTTGGAGAACACTGAGGAGTCGTAGAACTTGGCGGTCAGTTCCTCCACTGTGGGAAGTGGATACTTGTCTGGGACCACAGCCTTATTCACTGATCTGAGGTCAATGCACAGACGCAGGCCTCCAGACTTTTTCCTTGCCACAACCAAGTTGGAAATCCAAGGGAATGCATCCACCCTTTTAATTATGCCCTCCTCCAAGAGCTTTTGCAGTTCAGCAGTTACTTCATCACGTAGGGCAAGGGACAGGCGGTGCAATGGCTGTATGACACCGCGCACCTCAGGGTTGAGGAGGGGCTGGTGGTTAAAGGCAGTAAGGCAACCCAAGCCGTTGAACAGAGACGCCCATTACTGCTGCCAAGGCCAGCTCACTGTCATAATGTTGGACCCATTGTTGTCCAGGAGTGAAAAACCAAGATCACAAAACAAGTCTCTGCCCATGATACTGCACTCCAGTGCAACACTTGGAAGATGAATGATGGAAGGGCCTTGGTCCTATAGCGCACAGAAAAGGGGATTGTGCCAACCATGCTGATTCGAGACTGTCCATAGCCATACAGATCCTCTGGGTTAGCAGTGGGTGTCCAGAGTGGAAAAAGCCGCGAGACACTAGCAGCATTCAGGAGTGACCGCGTAGCTCCCATATCCAGCAGCAGTGGCAGCCATACCCTATCCAATTAGACGGCGCACCACTTAAATGGCCGAGAGGTAGAGCTCACTGAATGAATGGTGGTTGGTGTTGGTGGACCAGGTGAATGTGGCTTTGGACTGGCGGCAGCACGGGCAGAGCAGCAGACCCTGGCAAATTGGTTCAGTTTGCCGCAGTCACAACACTTCTGCCCCTTGACAGGGCTGGTTAGGGCCGGGGTTTGGTGTGATGATGAACCACAATTTCCACAGGTCTTGCATGCTGCTGCACCCTGGCATCCAGCAAAGATCACCTAAGGGCTGTCCTGAGGGGACTCAGGATGAGCCCTTGGGCAGCCCCATTGTATGCGTCAGTAGCGTGGGCTGGGAGAGGCTGGGAGGTGCCAGTTACGATGCTAAGCCAGCCGCAGATTCAAACTGGAATGCCATTTTCACTGCCTTTGTCAGAGTTAAATCATCTGGTGACATTAGGAGTTTATCCCTGAGTTTAGGATTGTTAGTGTGTTCAGCAAGTTGGTCCCTTATCCATTCATCCTCCAGTGCCCCAGACTTACAGGGGCAGGCCAGGGCTCTGAGATCGGCTATGTTATGGTTGATTGACTCACCCCCCTGTTGCCGGTGCTGGCGGAAAACAATCCACGGGAGCAAAACGTTCTGTGGGAGAGTGAAGTGTGCAGACAGCTGTGTGACACATGCAGCATATGTAGTGGTGGGTTGAAGGGTCCGAAAAATCCACTTTCCCTCACTGCCCAAGTTTTGGATGAGCATAACTCTTGTTGTGAATTCTTCATGCTGAAGGACATTTTGGTTAGAGACTCTTATTATTTGTTTCTATGGGTAGGTATTCGTTATGAAAATTTGGCATTCGATATTCGTTTGTTTTTTTTAATTTACTTTTTTTTTTTAACATTTTTTTTGGTGCTAAATGTAGGTTATCAATAAAAATCAAAACTTTTAAATTGCATTGTTAAAAATGTGAAAATATAGTATAGCCTATCTACCTTCTACCTTCGGGTACAAATAAACTTACCTTACCTTACTACCTTAGCTGAATTTAATATGAATTATGGAACCATTTTTGTCAACGTTTGTTTCCCCCGTTTTGTACAATAAATTATTGTTTAAAGTTTCAACAAGTTTCTTTTGGAGTGCGTCACACAAGTATGTTTTGAAAACGACCACGGACTGTCACCTGCTCAACGCACCAGTACCTTCGGATGCCGTGACAGTAATAGATTATAGATTAATGGATTATAATAATAATGTCAAAATATCATTTACAGACCGATTTAACAGACGATCACTGCTGCCCGACCCGCAGGTCCATTGGTCTACTCAGCTCAGTCTATAAATGCTGTACACAACAGTAAGGCTATAGACATTATATACTTAAGGCCGGCAAAACCAGCAGCGCATAGGCTCTACAGTGCAGCACAGAGTGTATGCCAGCAACCAATTACTTGCACAGGCTTCCTACAACTTGTTTCAAAGGTACCGATTTAATCAGAAGACAAATTGAACAGGATTACTAGCCAATGTGAAAATCAAAAGAAAGCATAGAATAATGTACTGAAGGAGACTGTTGTGCCATCACATTTTTTTGTGGTTTGAGAGCAAAGATCCGGTTGCCGCTGTGCAAAACTCCGCAATACAATTAGGTCCAAACCCCCCCCCGGAGCCCTGTAGCAGTCAGTATCTCAACTTACCAGTTTTAAAGGGTCAATCCCCAACATAAAGTCCTTTGAGCCAGATTATTGACTACTGCAGACGTTGTCATCAGAGGACGAATCAGCACTTCTCTCCCACCCTGATGTCAGAGAAAGACCCTTGAGACAACGTCAAACCCCCAGGCATTTGGAGGATTATATCCTAGACTACAGCCATCACCAACCTGCCCCTTCCTCCCACCCTATCGAGAAAGAGCCAGAAGAGCAGAGAGGAGCAGCAGTCGCAGTGAGTGGTAGCCAAGCAGATATACCCTCCAACCTGAGTAGGGACACGACCACACATAGCTCTATCTCAGCTGACCTTCTGAGTATGGCTTCCTTAAGGAAACTAGTCGAGTCAATCTCCGGTCAGGGAAGAGAGGAAGCTGCTGAAATAGCTCAGGTTTCTACCAAACTAGCTCAATATGAGAAACGACAGCACTGTCGTCAAGAGCTTATAGAGTGTATTACCTCATACTTAATGGAGGAAGAAGAAGTCAGTGAGGGCTCTCCACATATGAAGGGTGCACCATGCCCACCAGGACCACCACCCACAGTGACCCGTCATCATACAAATCCAGCCTATCCATGCCGCTCCTATCCTGAGCCAACAAACCAGTCACATGACATGGAGCCTCATGTTGAAAGCCTGGCCGCCTGGCCTATCCATCCCCAGAGCCAGTGGTTAAGCCGAAGACAAGAGTTAACTCTCCGAGAGAAGAGACAGAGTGAACGAACAGT